TGAACTCCACTGTCCTCAGAAGCTGGTACGTTGTGCAGTGTTTTGCTCGGAAACCAAATTGTTCATCAATCAGAACGTTGTGATTCCGGAGAAAATCATTCAGGCGTTTAAGTAGCACAAATTCGTAAATCTCTGATAACGAAGTTAGGAAGCTGATAGGTCTATAATTTTGAGGATTTTGAATGGCTCTGTCCAGGTTCCGAAATGGGCACAATAAGCGCTCTCTTCCAGCTTTGAGGAAAATAGAATTGCAGTAACATATAATTTATGAGCATTACTAAGAAAAATAGATAGGTGGTGGGTAGGTATTTAATCATGCGATTAGAAATAGAGTCCAATCCGGGAGCTTTCTTAGGATTTAATTTAGCGATATACTCTCTAACTTATGTTTGCATGATTAACTTATGTGCATGATAACTTATGTGCATATGATGTTTAACTTATGTGCATGTTTGTATATTGTACGTCTCTCTGACATGAAGAGTTTAGAAATCTTTCAACATCTAGTGGAAGGAATTTGCGGAATTAACAAAAATCCCTTCATTATGTGGTGTGAATTGTGTTTGGAGACTGTCAACAATTAATTCAACTTTCTCCGTGTCTGTATGAGCCACCACTGCGTCCTTAGCGAGGAACGGAATTTGAAATTTGTGTTTGCGAAGTCTGGCAGATGCAGGCCAAAGACTGTTATCTGTGGTCGTTAGGGACTGACTGTGATTAGAGTATCGTGATTGGTTGAACTGGTCACGTGAAGCCTTAAACTTAAAATTACAACTTCGTACTCTCCAATCTCATTTTGGAGAATACGAAGTTGTAATTTTAAGATAGGACTTCTAATTCCTTCCCAAAGCCTTCGCACTTTATTCTTTTCGCGAATTTTGAGTTTGATTTCAGCTGGAAGTTTATTAAAATTGGGGCGAAGGGTGGGTTTTGATACTTCTTTAAAAGTATTTGTGAGGTAGAAGTTAACTGATCAGCAGCCTTGTCAATATCATCATTGGATTTAAATTCGAGGAAAGGAAAACTTTTACTGTTAGGTTTATATCGAAAATTTTCCCAATTTGTAGAGACGAATGCCGTAGAATTTTGATGACAAGAATTACAGTTAAGATCGATGAGTACAGGGTTGTGATCTGAGGATGAACAACTTTCCACAGTCATGTGACAGTCATAAGGAATACTTCGAAAACGAGGCAAATCAACATAAGAAGGGGCTCCCCGTACATCGTATCGTGTGGGTGAATCCCGCGGTATAATTTTAAATTGGGCATGCTGAGCCCATTTTAGGAGGCCACTACCAGTGAATTTGGAATTTTTATAACGCCAAGCCTGGTGGTGACTATTTAAATCACCAGCAATAATGATATAGGTTCATAAACTGAGCACTCCCCTGGAAATTTGTCTCTTGTTCTGGATAAATGTTGAAGATAGGCAGAGATCAAAATTAAGGAAGGTGAATTTTGTATGAAAATTTCGACAGTCGTCGTCTCGAGTTTGCTCAGACTCGGTGTGTCAATCCTTTTCTGAGAAATATTGTTTTTGATAAAAGTACAAGTGTCACCATGAAATCTATCACGAATATCAGTAGCTTGACTGCCATTTTTACACATAGCATAGTTTGCAAGCTTGGGAACTCTCCCTGGTTGGAGTTTGGTCTCTTGGACAAAAACGATATCTAAGCACTTCTCTTCTACATAGTCTCTGAACTCATGAAATTTACTGGAAATGCTATTTGCATTCCAGGTGCATAGTTGTAATTTGTTCAATACCTTCAAAGTATTGAATTTTAATGAAGTGCTGTTCCTCCTGCTCGAGTACTTTGAGTAGTAGCTGGTCTATTCGATCTATGCACACAATAATTTGCCATGTATATTGGAGTGGAGGGGCCCAGGCGGTGTTCTTGTAGGAACAAAAATTCAGGGGCGTACTCATTTATGAAATCGCGTAACTCGTTGAGTCTACGGGCAAGTCCATTCGCGTTCCATGTAATGATATTTATACAGGTATTTACAACAGACATGATTACACATTGTTAGTTGAACTAAAAATTTCTTCGAACATTGAGAACAATACAAATAACTTATCGATAGCATGCTCTGCACTTTGCAGTTCAGGCATTTTTTCTGAAATCTTTATAAAAATGTTCATAACAACATTTAGAATCCTTTAAATATATCACAGACCTCCTTAAACACTTTATTAATGTCAGCAAATGCACAGAAAGAGACATCAGAATTTTTACCACTAGTTAGTGAATTATCCTGACCAACGGGTTTATCCGATCTGCCTTTAGCTACATATGCATAACTTACACCAGGCGTTACATTAGTAGTATTCATAACATTTTTTGCAGTTGATTTAAACTGGGTGTTAGCATCATTAGAAGTTTTAGCACTATTGATATCATTAACATTTTTTCGGTTAGAATTTTTGTACGATTTAGGAAATTTGGGACATCCACGATAATTCGCGGTATGTCCAGACTGACGGCAGTTACATCACATGACATTTTCTAGTCGCTTTGCAGAGCAATTTCGAGTTTTGTGCGACCCCGCGCATTTGACGCAGCGGGGCTTAAATTTACACTGAGTGGTGGAAGTGTTGGCAGTTATGACACTCCACAACACTTCCACTTGACTTATACACAGAAATTTAAACATGAAAGCACATAAGATAATTAGTCATACATTGTATCAACTCCTGGAGCATTTTCAATCTGCAATTCGAACAGTGGCATGGGTACCTTCGAACGCATCCTGTGCATTTGAGTAACCTTACGTATCTCTTACCCTAATTTTCTAACTCCTTTTTTATTTCGTCAAAAGGGCAGTCTATCGGGAGCCCTTGTATGACTGCTTTTATAGGCCTCTCTAATTTAGTGGTAATTATATAGTGATCAATTTCTTTTTCTTCTAGCTATCTGGTAATTATTCAATGATCCTCCTCTGAACGGGGAGAACACCTTTAAAAATTCACCGTTAATCTTAACTGGGAATTCAGTCTCAGTAGCATCTTTTAAGGTTTTAGCAAAATTCGAATTAACATTTAGCTTTACCATTACGCCTTAATTTTTTTTTGGGGGGGGGGTACTGCAATCACCTCAGATTCTCCTGGCATTTCAATATCACTAACATTTTTATCATTGTCATCACTCAAACTTTCAAATTTATTTTTAACTGCTATACTAGTATTGCAGTTAATAAGTTTCGCTGGCCTGGCCACATGACGCGGCTGAATAAAGCCATCAGAGTCCTGTAAATCAGTTACAGTGCGTTTCCTTTTTTTAGAGCCCCTTTTGGGTTTAGATTTATCAGAACATACACCAGGATTAGTTTTACATACATCAATTACAGAAATATCATCATCAACATTCTTCTCGCTATTCTTACACATTGAACCATTAGCAAAGATTTAACATTATTTGACACAGTTTCATTAACACTACTAGATAAGGATTTAACATTATTTGATTCATTGGCTAATCTTTAGAATATGGTAACAGGTAGTTTAGCGATATGTTGGTAAGGTGATAAAGGTTACTAGCTAGGACTTTAGCAATAATCTGAGAAGTACACAGTTCGAATAACAGATTATTTTGTCTCAGAGAAATGAGAGATCATGAGACATGTAATGTGACATTTTCCGGAAAATTCCGATCGTGATTTTAGCTAATAAGCACTTAGAAACAATTTCGCTGCTAAAATGTAGAATCGTCCACTTATTTGTTTGTAATCGTCCTCTTTTTACAAGAGTAAGAAGAATTGGATTTTTGTAAATTTTCTTTGACTTTTTAAGTGAAAATAGGTCGATGTGTACATGGATAAAGTCAAGAGTGTGCGCAATGCCATTTTTGTGCAATTCTGGGATGTTTTTATTAAGTGAAAATAGGTCGACGTCTACATGGATACCGTGTATGTGCAATTCTTTAAAACGCGGCAAGCAGTTTGCAATTCTGCACTTTCTCCCAATTTCGCACCTAATCTCCGTCATGATTAAGTATTTTTGTTCCATAAAAGTTCTAGTATAAGCGTAATCCGGCTAGCAGATTGTTGGGGAAAAAAAAAAAAAAAAAAAAAAAAAAAAAAAAAAAAAACATGCCTTTACTTCGTGAAAACAAAATGGCGTCCTAAACAAAACTAGCAGGTTGCTGTAGCAGGGTTGGTTGCCAAATTTTCTCCAAAAAATCGCCAAGTTACCATATTGTAAAGATTCACCGATTCATTTTCTTCAACCATATTTACAGTATTTGCAATAACATAAATAGGACCTTGCACACTGAAAGTCTAGCACTTACCTTTGAACAGCTCGATGAGTCCTTGCAGGCTATGCCGAATTTGTTTCCTGTCTGTTAAGAGATACTACGCTTGTCATTTCCTACTAGCTATTCATAATCAGTAACAAACATTTAATTTTTCCGAATGATCATGAGAATTTTCAAATGTTGTGTCTAGCGGTGTGGGTTCAGTGAAGTGCATGACGCAACCAAAACAGACTAGTTCACGGCACAAACATTTATTTCTAACTAACTCATAAGACAGCAGCGATGCGCTATTTACGCAGTTACATTACATTCTACTCTACTCTCGTTCACAGAGGTTCTCGGGTATAAGAGTACTGATACTCTCGAAATCAGATGCTACATCCCTCCCCACTTATTTAGAGATTTAATCTCTGAGGAGCTTTGCGGATGCGCGAAGATCGTCTAAGTCCTGGCTGAGGTTGCTGCAACTCTTTATCAGGATCCACTGGAAGGACTGGATCAGTTTTCCTTGGAACTGACGATGTTTCAAGTCCGGCTGAAGTTTGCACAGCTTCACTTCTTTGTTCGATGTCCTTGTCCGGAGCCTGTGGCTTCACGTTTCCATCTGAAGTAGCAGCCATACGAGGTTCATAGATTATCGGTGCAGACGGAACCTCGCTCCCTACCGATCTGATCTGATCGACGTGCCGGCGCAGTAAAGTTCCTTGAACGTCAATGGGTATAATGCAGCGCTCCATCCTTATTTGTCACTCTGCCAATTTTCCATCGGAGAATTTGCCGATCTATAATCCCGAATGGCAACCTTTTCTCCGATCTCAAAATTTCTGTCTTTGAAATCATAAGTATTCCTTCGGATGCGTTCTTCCACTCTTCGTTTAAGATTTGGAACAACTAAATCAATTCGAGTTCTAATTTCTCTTTTTAAGAATAACATTGCTGGACTTAACAAGGTTGTCATGTTCGGTGCCTTTCTATAATTCATGAGGAATATGGCAAGTTTTTGCTTAATATTTCCTGGATAACCTTGCATTGCACGTAATGCTTGTTTAACGGTGTAAACGTACCGCTCTGCTTGCCCGTTACTTGCCGGTTTAAATGGAGCACACGTTTTGTGTTTAATTCCATTATTCCTTATAAAAGTTTCAAATTCCCCCGATGTGAACTGAGGACCATTGTCACTCACTACTACTAAAGGCAGTCCGTATCTTGCAAAACAGTCTCTCAAACATTCAATTGTCTGAAAGGAATTTGCTGACTTTAAGGTATACACTTCTAGCCATTTAGAATGTGCGTCAATGATAATCAAGAACATTCGTTCAAAAATAGGGCCTGCAAAATCTACGTGAATGCGTTCCCAAGGCGCACTTGGATATTCCCAGTGATGGACCCTTGCCCTTACTGGATCTGATTTGAACTTAATACAATCGACACAGTTCCTAGAAACTTCTTCAATATCATGATCAATTCCCTTCCAAAAGACGTAGGATCTGGCGATTGCCTTCATTTTAACGATTCCTAAATGTCCTTGGTGTAACTCTTCGAGAATTTTAACTCGGAGTTTTTTCGGAACAACTACCCTCTGACCACTCATTATACAGTCATCTTGTAAGGTGTACTCGGCTTCCCTACCTTCCAAACTTTCTCCAGATTTTAATTTCATATATAAAGACTATTTAATTCTTCATCAGCTCGCGTTTCCCGAGCTATCTCCCTAGCTGTTACCGGAAGAGTTTCAATTTGGGAGAGTTGGAATATTTCAACATCATCCTTAATGCTTAAATCTTCGGACTTAAGAGGTAGGCGCGACAGGCAGTCAGCATTACCGTGTTCCTTGGTATTTCGATACACAATATCAAACTGATATGCTTGCAATATCAGTGCATAATGTAAGAGTCGGGTGGCTGTGAGGATAGGAAGTCCTCTTTTCGATTTGAAAATAGCCACTAAAGGTTTATGATCTGTCACCAGAGAAAAGCGTCTCCCCTTTAGATATAGATAAAACTTTTTGACAGCCCAAACAATTGACAGTGCTTCTTTATCGATTTGGGCGTATTTCTGCTCTGTGTTAGTCAGTGTCCTCGATGCGAATGCTATAGGCCTTTCTGTTCCGTCAGACAAAACATGCGAGAGCACTGCCCCAAGACCTACCGGAGATGCATCAGTAGCTAGCATTAACGGTAATGTGGGATCGTAATGCATTAAAACTCTGTCTGAACAAATTTCCTTTTTTATTTTTTCAAAAGCGATTTGGCAGTTTTTTGACCAACTCCATTTAACATCTTTTTTTTTTTTTGTTAAATTATTTAAGGGATGTGCCAAAGTTGCCAGATTAGGGCAAAATTTGGCATAAAAATTCACTAATCCCAAAAAGCTTTTGATGTCTTGGACGCCTTTCGGCGTAGGGGCATTAGCAATTGCCGAAATCTTTTCATCCGTTTTATGCAATCCATCGGCATCAATTTTATGCCCTAAAAATTTAATCTCATTTTGAAAAAATTTACTTTTAGTTAAGTTTAATTTTAGGCCGTGCTCCTTGCATTTTTTGAAAAATATTTCCAATGCTTTTAAATGAGACTGATCATCCGGTCCTGTCACTCGAGCATCATCCATAAAAATTTTAATTCCTTCGATCCCCTGAAATAATCCCTCAACATAGCGCTGCCAAATAGCTGGGGCAGCATTTAATCCATACATTAAGCGTTTACAAATATACAACCCCTTATGCGTGTTTATTGTTAATAACCGTTGGCTCTCCGGATGCACCTTCATTTGTAGATAAGCATGACTGAAATCAAGTTTCGAAAAATTTTTACCTCCATTAAGGCATGAAAATATTTCTTCGAGTTTTGGTAATGGATGCTGTGGCACTTCCAAATTCCAAATTAGGATTCAGAGTCACAGAATAATCAGCACAAAGCCTAATGGAACCATCAGATTTAACAATTGGCACAACTGGTGTTGCCCATTCTGAAGTCTCAACCCTCTCAATGATACCTTCTTTCTCAAGCCGATCAATTTCTGATTCAACTCTATTTTTTAATGCGAAAGGTACCGGTCGTGACCTACAAAATATTGGTTGAGTATTAGGTTTCAAATTTAGTTTTACTTCGTGATTGTTAATTTCACCTAATTTACCGTCAAAAATTTCCTTATACTCCTCAAGCAATTTTTTTAAATTCAATTCACTAGAAGTTTTCAATGTTTTGATGGCATTCCAATCGAGATTGATTTTATACAGCCATTCTCGGCCGAAGATTGTGTCCAAATTTTCCTTCACAATGTATAGATTTAAAACTAATTTTTGACCTTGGTATTCAACTTTAACAGGAACATATCCTAAAGGTACCACCTTATCACCCCTGTAAGTTTTAAAAACTAAATTTGTAGGCTGAATCTTTTTATTGGAAATTTTTCTAAATTTATTTATAGACATTACCGAAACTGTTCCCCCAGTATCAAGTTCCATGCTAACTGGTTTGTTTTCAATTTTAACTTGAACCATTATTGGCTCTTCCTCTCTTAACATGTGCGTTCTGGAGTTAAGATAGATGGGGACCTCATTTTTCATATTTATTTTCAACTTTCTTTGTTTAACCTGTCGGTTTTTCCTAGACAAATAACACGCCTTTTCGATATGTCCAATTTTTTTACAAAAGCGGCATTCACTTGTTGCAAATCTACAGTTGTTTTTATTGTTATTTGCTTTTAAGCAACGCGAGCAAGTTTCATTTTTACCTTTATTATTCTTAGCAACAAAGTTTTGTTTCCGCGGTTTGGACTCATTTTTCTTGGTTTTAAGTACCTTCAGTTCTACGGAATTTCCTATAATCTCATTTGCACCCTTAACCGCCTTTTCCATCGCCAAGGATCTATCTTGAATGTTCTATCTTTAATGTTTTCTCTAAATCGATATCACCTTCCTGAAATAATCGATCCAAGCTATTACGATCTCGTAGACCGCTAACGAAAACATCCCTTAACATTGTATTTAGCATATCCTCTTTATATTCACAAGGAATCGCTAACGAGCGTAATTCAGTGACATAACTACTAATTGATTCCCCCTCATGCTGTTTTCTATTAATAAACATGTGCCGACTAGGTATTATTAAAGCTTTAGGATTTAAATGATCCTTAAGAACCTTTTTTAGTTCGGTAAAATTTTTATCTGAAGGATTATCCGGAGAGAGTAAATTTTTCAACAAATTATACAATTTCGCATTCAAGCTTGAGATCAGAACTTTCCCACGTTTTGCCTCTGGAACATTTTGAATGTCCAAAAAAGCCTCAAATCGTTCTATGAACGAATCAAAATTTTCTACCGTTTCATCGAACTTATCAAAAGAAACAGAAATTTTGTCTTGTTTATGTTCCGATTTCTCTTGCAATGCGACCATTAAAGCTTCATTCTGCTTTATCAATTCTTCAATTAACTTCTCCATCCTTTCAAAATAAAAATCAAATAACTTTCCTACCTTTTGCAGTTTTCGGGGAATCCCCTAAATCCAAGTTTCGGTTTTGCCACTACTTTACGCATGTAACCGAGTGCGCCGAGTCGGGAACGATTTTCTTCTCACACAGCCTCGTCGCCAACTTGTTGTGTCTAGCGGTGTGGGTTCAGTGAAGTGCATGACGCAACCAAAACAGACTAGTTCACGGCACAAACATTTATTTCTAACTAACTCATAAGACAGCAGCGATGCGCTATTTACGCAGTTACATTACATTCTACTCTACTCTCGTTCACAGAGGTTCTCGGGTATAAGAGTACTGATACTCTCGAAATCAGATGGCTTTATCAGGATTCATTCCAGAGGCAAAAAAAAATCTTCAACTCGCCAAAACAGTAAAAAATGTATAATGTAAAGTTTCAGCTATCAAAAAATCATCTGATTCTGACATCTTGTCGCAAACATATAGAAGCAAAGCGAAGTAACAAGATGTCAGCTCCGTTGAAGAACGCTATATTATAGTGTCACGTAATTTTTTGCCCCGAATAATTCTATTGGTTAAACGCACTCTTCGGAAGTGAACTCGTTTGGACATTGTTTGCTACTAACGTTAATGCGCTTTCGTCAGCTACGTTTCGATCGTAGTCGTGTGGACGGGACTTTAGATTTAAAGAGATAGGGTTGTGGCGTTCCGACAGATACTTCAACTTCTATTCATGAGATGGCGCCACGTGTAAAATCCAGTTCTTAATCGGAGCAGCAAAGCGACATCTTTACTCACTCAGACTTCTCGTCGGACAAGTGTACGCGACGCTAGCACGAACTGTGTTCCGAGCTCTGTGTTGATCTCTGCAATGTAATTTAAATTGTAATTTAGTACTTAATATATTCTTTTGTTATAGGAGATTGTCTACTCTTATTTTCTTTAATTATATCATGCATTAAGCACACACGACCACCAAAAGTGGTGACCTTTTGACTGAGCACGCTACTGAGAATGGATTTTCAACGACCCTAAGCCACGTGCATCCAAGGCATTCTGAAGAACTGACTAAAAATAACAACGAATATGGACATTAAACGTATGCTACAACGTACCCCTTCAATTATTTCTAGAAGTATTGATATATATTGCTTGTGTTTTTTTTCAAAGTCGTGCATATCATCGCAAGGAGCTTCAGCAAATCATCAATGTGATCTGTTCCGTTCCGCTGACTTCGCCAGTCGTGCAATAATTCTTCGATCATTCAACTTTTGTGACAAATGTGCTACAACAGTGATTTTCGCTAAATGTGCTACATCAGTAACTTTTGTGCAACGTGCTACGGCAAAATTCTTCCCTCAGTGTTCGAAAGTAGTGAATTTTTTTCCCATGTGCTACAGGAGTGATTTCCTTTTTCCTTCGAAAGTGCCTTTCAGTGTGAAGCGGTGATTTTGTGCGTGCGCAATACAAAATGAACGCATCATTTTTTTTCTCAAATAAGGGTTTCTTTTCAAATGCATTTCGGTAAAATATTATTTGTGTGTGTAATTGCTGACCCTGTATTATTTGTGTGTGTATCGTTACGTAAATTTTTTTATGCATGGTTAAAATATTTATTGTTATGGTAAAATATCAATAGTGTATCATCTTGCTACAATATTTGTGCTGTTAAGTGTTTATTAATTTAAAGTGAAAATTATCTATCAGTATGCCCGACGATATTCCACCAGAGCCACAAATCACACGCGTTGCGGTGAAGCCACCGCCTTTCTGGAAAAATAATCCTTCATTGTGGTTCGCTCAGATCGAAGCACAATTTTCTATCGCTCGCATTAGTGAGGATTCTACAAAATTCAACCATGTAGTTGCAGCAATTGAGTCTGATATTCTGAATTCAGTGCATGACTTAATTCTCAAACCACCTGATTGTGATAAATACTCCAAACTGAAACAGCGGCTCATTGAAATCTATTCAGAAAGTGAATCTTCAAAAATACGTACTTTACTACAAGGACTTGAACTTGGAGATCAGCGACCTTCATACTTGCTGTCACGAATGCGTGATCTGGCAGGAAGCCATTTTAGTGACGACTTGTTGAAGTCACTATGGCTTTCGCGTCTCCCTAATAACATACAAATAATTCTTGCTGCTTCCAATGAAGATCTAACCCGTTTAGCAGCAATGGCTGACAAAATTAATGAACTTGTTACTCCAGCTTATGTCAGTGCTGCTAATCTGCACCTTCCAGTTCATCCCTCGAACAACAAGGCTGAAGACCAAAGAAACTTATTCATGTTCAATGTTTAGGCCCTTAATTTCGGCTGAGTAGTTAGGATTTGAGTATCCCTGCACCCCGGAAGTGCCGTCGTCCTTCAAAAGTACTTGGATGTAGTAGTAGGCGGTAATGTAGGCGAGACTGTTTGTCATATACTATGTTTTTCTAAAATAGCGCGTTAAATGAAGGATGAGAGGCTTGTAAAAAAAAAAAAAGGGGGGAAATGATTTAATTAAAATTCACGAGTCGAATGTAATATGCGCATTTGAAAGGGTTGGTTTCAGTTGAGTGGGCTGGGATAATATTCTGCATTGCTAAATTAGGAACGAGATGGTCGCTTTTCCTTGAGAAAGGTTAGATCAAGGTTAAGATTTTGAGGGGGAGGTGAAAGTAGTATTTGATGAAATACGTGTTTTGAAAGCGTAAACATCCTGTAAGCGCACAAGGCGAGACTTGTGAAACTTTCACTTGATCATTACATTTCGAAGCGGTGAGGTTGGTGCTATCATCCTCCATAAGGATTACAATGGAAGCTCGTAATGGTGAGTGAAACGTAAGGTTTTTTTTTTTTTTTTTTTTTTTGTGTTATTGTTCTTTTATTGTTAAATACTTTCTGCGATAAATGTTAAGCATAAAATTATAATTAAAATTAGTTTATTTTAGAACGCAAACGTAGATGTGTTGACACGTTGGGGGATGTGCAGCCGTCGGAAGATCTTATTTTAAACCTTGCTCCCGAGGAAGGCGAAACCTCCCGCAAAAAACTCAAAAAAATTAAAATATACATTGGAAAAAATGTTTCAATAGAAACTTGTGACTTCAAAAATGTCAATTATGTTTCATTTGTAAGGGTGTATCCCGAAACCGCCGCCGCCACCCCCAAAAGATTTAATATAAATATGAATTGTATTGATCGTATAATCGAAGCTTTGGGGGTTTGGGGGTGATTAAGAGCCACTGTATGTAAAATTTAAAAAAAAAAAAAGATATCAAAATGCTGATTTTGCTGGAAAGCGGTAGTGGAAGTTAGTAAATTAATATGAATTTTATATAATATTGTAAACAAAAAAGTTCCATTATTTATTTATTATTTTTTTCAAATGATGAATTTTATTCAGTTAGCGCAAGCCCACCGAGGCTATTTGCGCACTTTAAGAACAACATTCGATGCTTCTCAGAAAGATCCGTATGAGATATTCAGAACGGCACGCCCTGCCATATACAACATTTTAAATACTAGATCGAGTTTAAGACTCAGGATTTTAATATGTTTGAAAATATGTTTTGAGAAACTGGGGAAAGATGAAAAAGAAATTAATCAGTGTTTTTATTTTTGTTCTCATTGCGAAAGGATTTTATCCTCTAACCAAATCTACGAAAGCATTGACAGATGCTTTAAAAAGATTTTAAATTTGATAGATAATTTTGTGCGTAATGGAAGCGGGTGGAAAATAAAAAAGTTAGAGTACCTTGACTTACACGTTGGAAACTATCGGGAAAATCGCGGTGGTTGTAAAAACATCGCTTTACCGACGGGATTAAAAAATAGAAAAGCGTTGTTAAATATCAAATGTGGTGACGACAATTGTTTTTTATATTCTGTTGCCGCAAGTGTTTTTCCGAAATCCACTAGAAATCCTCAGAAGGCTTACTTGTATAAAAAGGATATATCACGTTTTAAATTAGGATCCCTCAAATTTCCCTTAGCGTTAGGCGATGTAAAAATGTTTGAAAACCTGAACGATGTATCCATAAACGTGTATGGATATGAGGAAAATGAAATATTACCTTTGCAATTAAGTGAAAAGCGAAATGCGACAAAAACAGTAGATTTGCTATATTTTCAAAAACATTTCTTTTGTATTCGAAATTTTAATCGTCTATTACACGCAAACGAAAAACGAGTAAATTTTTTTTTGTAAAACTTGTTTAAGTGGGTTTCAGAGAAGGGAAACGTTAGAGTATCACAAAACTCTTTGCAATGAAAACAAACCGCAGAAAGTTAGCATTCCTAAAAACACACTTCTTAAATTTACAAATTTAATGAAAATGCATTATCATCCTTTTTGTGTCTTTACCGATTTTGAATGCCTCACGCGCAAGATTCATTCAAACTGCGTTTCCTTCTCCGCAACAGAGTCATACTACCCCAATTGAACAGCATATTCCTATTAGTTATACCCTAATAGTTACTGACGTGGAAGACAAGATTATTTTTCATGAATATTTTTGCGGAGAGAATGTAATGGAACATTTTTTCACAACGTTGAGCGAAATCAAATCTAAAATTTTGCAAAAGATGAAAGAGTGTTTACCGATGCAGGAGACGTCGGAAAAAAGTTACGATTCAAATATATGTCATATATGTTTGAATCCTTTCTTAGAAGGCGATGTTCGGGTCATAGATCACTGCCACTGGAGTGATGGGCATGTGAGAGGTCTTGCACATCGCTCCTGTAATTTGAATTTTAAAGTGTCAAACTACATTCCGGTGGTAATTCATAATTTCAGGAATTATGATAGTCACCTGTTACTAAAACACATGCCGAAAATGTATGCAAATAAAGTTAACATTATTCCGGTGAATTTGGAAAAATTCACCATGTTTACACTAGATGAAATGAAATTTATTGATTCGTTTCAATTTTTAGATGCGTCTTTGGACACTTTGGTGTCGAATTTGAAAACGTCACAACATGAATTTAAATTGTTTAATGCATTTTTTGAGAAAAATCCCCAACGAGAATTGTTATTGCGGAAAGGCGTATTTCCTTACTCATATTTTGCGTCAACATCGGTGTTGGATGAAATTTCGCTTCCACCGCAGAGCGCGTTTAATAATGTATTACAAGGAGAAGCAGTTTCCGACGAAGATTATGTACATGCCACACACGTGTTTCATTCGTTTGGATGTAACACTTTTGCCGATTACTTAGAGTTATATCAAAATACAGATGTTATTTTGCTAGCCGAAGTATTTTTATCCTTCAGACGCACCGCTCTAAAATATTACCAGTTGGATCCTGTACATTTTATAACGGCTGCCGAATTAACGTGGAATGCCGGACTGAAAGCGTCTAAAATTGAATTAGAGCTTCTAGGAGATGTGAATCAATACATTTGGTTTGAAAACCAAATGCGAGGAGGTATTTGTTTTCTGGGTAGACGTTATGCTCTTGCAAATAATCCTTATATCCCCGAGAGTTATAAACCCGATTTACCACACACCTATATCTTAGCCTTAGACGCAAATAATCTATACGGGTGTGTAATGAGCCAGCACCTGCCATTGGGAGGTTTTTACTGGTTAAAGGAAAATGAGGTGGAGGCGTTTGATATTTTGTCTTGTGTTGAAGACGGTGATGTGGGGTATATTATCGAATCCGATCTGTTATATCCCTCCCATCTGCATGACCAACACAATGATTTACCGCTAGCACCGGAACATTTTGAACTCACTTTTGACATGCTATCGCCTTATGCCAAAACCCTGAGCAAAAAATTTCAGTTAGAGACGACACTTCCATGCAAAAAATTATTACCCAATTTTTTTGAAAAAAAAAAAATTACATCGCTCATTATTTAAATCTAAAGTTTTACGTAGAACAGGGTTTAATAATTAAGAAAATTCATAGAATTTTAGCTTTCAAACAACGAGCGTGGCTTAAAGAATACATTGCTTTCAATAATATGAAAAGACAAAATGCGTCTAGCGAATTTGAAAAATCTTTCTTTAAAAAGATGAATAACGCTTTCTATGGAAAAACCTGTCAAAATGTTAGGAAACGTATTCGCGTACAGGGCGTTTTTAGTGAGGAACAATGCCAAAAAAAATTAAACAGTCCTCTGCTGGAATATTTTGAAATAATTAATGAAAATTTTTCAGTTTTCAAAATGAAAAATCCAAATTTGTGTCTAGATAAACCGATTTATATAGGTTTCAGCGTTTTAGAATTAGCGAAGTTGCACATGTATAAATTATTCTATTCCCATTTTAAACACTTTTACAAAGAAAAATGCGAGTTGTTATACACAGATACAGATTCTTTGTATCTCTATATAACAACTGAAGATGTATATAGTGATTTAAAAACGAATTTTTTAAATATTTTGGATTGCAGTAATTTCGAACCCAATCATATAATGTTTAATGAAGAGAACCGTGGAAAACTGGGATTTCTAAAAAGTGAGACACTCACCCCCATATCGGAATTTGTGGGTTTGAAATGCAAAATGTACGCATTTCGTTTCGGTGATACTGTTAAAAAGACCGCGAAAGGAATCAAAAGGAGCGCGCTCAAAAACATTGGATTTGAAACGTATAAAAACGTTTTCGAAAATGCTTCCCTGATTAGGAATTCTCAATATTCAATCATTTCAAAAAAGCACGAACTGCAAACGATTTTTCAAAATAAAGCTAGCCTCTCGGGATATTATGACAAAAAATATTTGTTAGATGATGGAATTCAATCATTGTCTTATGGTCACTATAACACGCGTGAAGAAGACATGAATTAAAAAAAAATGATGGAACTTTTTTGTAACATTTTATTGTAGAGTGTGACATTGTATTTTTGCAACTTATATTTTTTTATGCTAATGATCGACAAAAAACAAAAATGTGTTTCCCTCCCATAGAATACCCAGAAGATATGGCTTTATTTCAACCAATTTCTTTGCAAGATATGTGTATTCAAACTATTTTATCTTCGATATTATGTATAGCTGAACTGTATAATGTAGAACTGAATATTCCTCGTATGATTTTAAGAGATATAATAGAGAAAGGTCGATTCTGGATTGATTTTGAAAGTAGTTTCTCCTTAGAGAACAGAGATGTATTTTGGGATGAAAGTTTAACTCTCTATGAAAGAATTCGATTTAATAAGTGGTTTTCTAAACAATTTATTGCCTGGTTTTTCTTTGATGATGATGTTATATTTCTTTTACACCTAAAGATTGCACATATCACATTTGTAAAACATGTAATTGTTCAAAATAATGAGTCTAATATTTATTTGAAAAGCTGCAACAAATGTTTAGAATTGTGGTTACGATGTCAAACAGACACTACCAGAACGAAATGTAAAATTTTCAGAAAATTCAATCATTTCTTATGTTATAATGAAAGGGATACCCTTTCTTATATGCGAAATGAAGATAACTGGTGTGAGATATGTAAGCAAAGTCCTCTGTATTTCATTTGCGACGAGAATTCATGTTGCATTTCTTTTGGAAACTTGATACACGAATGTCCCCGAATTAACCATGATCACTGTTATAATAATTGCTATGGAGGTTTTGTAGAAAACTTTTCTTTTAACTGTCAAATATGAACAAAAATACTGATACATTATGGCAATATTCTGATTAATCATTTTTATTTTATAAACACCCTGAAATTTTTGTTGATATGTAATGATTCCTTTTATGTTTGTAACAATGTGAAATGTACTTTTTGTTTTATTTGATTACTTATTGTATTATCAATATAACATCTCACATGGTGTAATGAAGATAATGGGTTAGTTTCTATATAAATTTACAACGAAAAATCGTTTTGATTTCTTTAAATGTTCATTTTAATTTCTGATACTTATATGCGAAATGAAGATAATTGGTGTGAGATATGTAAGCAAAGTTCTCTGTATTTGATTTGCGACAGGAATTTATGTTGTATTTCTTTTGTAAACTTGATACACGAATGTCTCGCGAATTAACCATGATGACTGTTATAATAATTGTTATGGAGGTTATGTAGAAAACTTTTCTTTTAACTGTCGAATATGAATAAAAATACTGACACATTAAGGCAATATTCTGATTTATCATTTTTATTTTATAAACACCCCCTCCATGTATGTTTCGACGAAAAAGAGGGGGGAGGGAAAGAAATTTTTGTTGATATTTAATGATTCCATTTATGTTTGTAATAATGTGGAATGTACTTTTTGTTTCATTTGATTACTTATTGTATTATCAATATAACATCTCACATGGTATAATGAAAATAATGGGTTAGTTCCCATATTGGATTTACATCGAAAAATCGTTTTGATTTTTTTTAAATGTTCATTTTAATTTTTGATACCTTTATATATTTTACAACAGTAATATGTTTTTTGTTTCATTTGATTTTTTCATTGTATCATGCATACAAGAATGATTATTTTGTATTAAGCTTCTGTAATCCTTTAGAAAAAAAATAAAAAAATGGACCTTATCCAAGAGGTCCGGTTTTAGTATCTTCTTGGAGGAATTTACATTTTATTAATTTCTTCAAGGCAGATGCTTTTACCGGAAAACAAAACAGTGGAATAGAAAAAGGCAGCTCATAAATAAGTGTAAAAATGTATTATTTATCTATATATCTGATATTTTTTTTTTCAGAGACAAAAAAAAATTGCATTTGAAAGAAAAAAAAAATCCTTTTTATTGATCAAATTGTTTGTGTTACACACAAGTGCGATGTAATCCTCGCACAATAGCATCATCATTCAGAATAACAAAGTAAGCAATTTTAATTACATAACTTTCATCTCTTATACATTCACTTTCATATTCAGTTTTTTTCGAAGAAACACAATCCAACATGCTATTATATAATTTACTACATGCCGAAAAAAGAGCTATTTGTTCATTTTGAATGTATAAGTAGCAATATCCATATTGTTGTTTGTGGTTGATGGTCAGCTTTATGAATATGCTTGACCACTTCGGCATTCTTCAAAATTTTCAGGTAATGACGATTTCCTTTCCCGCTAGTGTTTTCATCGTAAAGAGCATTACGAATGCAGTCGCTTAGGTTTTTAAAGAAAAAATGATTAATTTTTTCAACGTGTACTTCTTCAACAGGACTGTTTTCGGAGTTTCCAGTGTGCAAATAGCCGTAACGTTCCATCGTCGACTTCTGAAGCGTTAGTGATGTTTTGCAGGAATAACACGCATATTTATCAAAGACACACAATTTTGTTTCTTGGCATGAAAAGCATGACAACAGCGGCGACGTTTGAATTTTTTTTTTAAAAAATTCCCTAATAAAAATTTCATTTTTTTTCTTATCTTTCGTGCAGAGGTCCTTCAAAGAGTACCCTCTTACCATACAAAATAAAAAATAAAGAGCAAATTTTCCGCAGGATGTACTGGTATCATCTTGAAAGCATATTTTATTATAAAATGTTTTGTTAGCGTTGGTCATTAAAAAGTTTAAAATATTTTTGTTAGATGGAGCAAGACCATAACTGTCGAAGTAATATGCCGTGCTGTTTTTCTTAAAATATATCGAAATCCAGTGGCTCCCAGGTAAAGTATGCGGATCCGAATTCACTATAAATGAGGAGTAATGTCTCTTTCGTAAGGGTATGAAATCGGAAGGATATACACCTCCAAATGTTTTTTTGATTCGACTGTCGCCACAGGCATATTGACACAGAGTTAAAGTATCCATTACCGCCTTTGTTCGAAATGAATATTTCTGTATATGCTTTTAAACACTTCTTCGTACACTTGATGTTTCTTTGATGGGAAAATTTCAATAATTTTTTCGGCAAAAGCGAGAAAGAATGCAATGCGCAGGTTCGCTATTTTATTGGAAAACATCATATCGCCTATACTTCGAATTACCTCCTCGCCTGCACCCGCCTCCTTAGCTAGTTCGATAATTTCATTTCCGTATATTTGCAAAACTTCGTCCATGATTTTTAATAATCTGTCGTGACTCCGCGTGACTTGTCTATTTCAATTATGTTCCTGTATTCAGCATAGACTATCAGGGTAACTGTTTCTGGCAAGGCCGCTGCAAATTTGATATCAATGGCTATGTTTCCGCTCTTATTTATGCTTACGTGGCTTTCATTAGATGCCATATCTGGAGTCAAATCAACGGCATATAATGTATACCCATCTTTGTATTCATCAAAGGAGATATTAATGTTGGGGCTTGAATGATATCGATTTAAATCTGTAAAGATGCTTAAATAACTTCGCCCATAAAATGTTTTTTCGAAATTGGGCTGATAGGGTTTGGAAGGTATCATCTGTCCCCCATTTAATATGCATAGGTAGTTTAGGTTATAGTGATGAAATTTAAAAGGATTTCTGTTGATGCTTCCATTATAGGCGGCATTAGATACAAAACCTAGAATGAGACGTGTGGGTAGCTGACCAATAAAAGCGTTTGCTATAGTTGTCGATTGCAAACCGCTCGATATTGCAAAACTTTTTATGTCAATCCTACGAATGGGCATCTTAATAACTCCTTTTTCTAAAGCCTTTTCGTGTGCTATTAGGATGGAGGGAGCCACGCTGACTTTTCTCACGTATAGTTTTGCTAGCTGAATTCTAATTTTATAATTGTCGTTTGCCGACATCAAAGTGAAAACATCTTTATGCCTTTCCAGTTTAATGCGTACATTAACCCCGTTGACTAACAATTTCGGTTGAGTGGCCAAATCGAAGTGCAATGGTCCCACGAGGTCGAGGCTTTGGCTAAGCTTGCAACGATTTGCACGCGTTGTATAACCTTCGTTTTCGTCTCCCACAACATCATGCTTAGATGCAGTATCTTTTGCAAATAAGCCAGCACTCAGTAGATTATCTTGACCTGATTTGGAATAGAACAACAAACTTTCCAAAAGGGCTCTATAAGAATAATTCACTTGTGACGAAACCTGTTTATCATTTAAAAATATTGAACAGTCGGAAAACAATGTGTTTAAAATATAATTAACAGGTGCCACCCCGTCGGCGTCGGTGAGATTGGTATCGTCGTTTTTTTTCGTTATTTTAAGTCGTGTGTGTAGTATCGTATGCGCCAAATCCAAATAGTGTTCACCATTACCGCTAATGTAAAATTCTATGGGCGTCTTATCAGACAATGAAGATACGGGGTGGATTTCCACGAAGGAAGAGGAATCGATGCCCAGTTGTACGGCGACACCATTAAAGAGATCCAATTCGCTCTTAAGGCATATAACCCCCTGAGTTTCCATTACTATTAATCTTTATGTAAAAATATCTGCTTTTGTCTTACAACGCTTGCTCTTTGATTGACGATTTTTCCTCTTGCGCTTTCTTTTTATACCTTCTCCCCTCTGTAATTTTTCAAAAATATCACTTTTTATTTTATTAGAGGTCTCACGTAACCTGCTCCGAGCAGAGTCCTTAAATGACGATCCCGCTGCAACATCTGACAAGACGTTCTTTCCTGTTTGCATCAACTGTTTGCCCAAATAACGACCGGCTCTAAGTGCCAACGGCGTAATGTATCGGCGCAAATCTCCAAAAAACCCATAACCTCGTTGGTGAGGTATACCTTGAAAGTAAACACCACCGCCACCACCAACTTGAGCACAATAATAGGATTCGCACTCTTTCTGATTTAAGTGCATTTCTCTAAGGATGTTTTAAGAAAGTGAGAGGAAAGCTTGAAAAATCTTCAATTTATATAGTTTTCTTACGGCGAAAAGACAGGACTACAAATGTTTTTCCTCCCGTAAAGGTAATTTTTTTCCCGCTTCTCAGTTCTATTTCTATCGTTCCACATAGTGCTTTCGCAAAGGAAAATATATAGTTTTTTCATAATGCTTCACAATTTGATCATTTTTTTTCATTCACGCAGGGAGTAACCCTTAGCAGCGGAGCATGCACATCTCCAACGTGATGTGATTCGATTAAATCGCTGTACACAAAAATTTCAGTAATGCCCCCGTCCAGTTCTAAAGGATAGTCGCTTATATATTTTCCGCACTTGAAATGGGTGTTGACGAATCCCAGCATGTCTGTCAGCCTTTTCCCTAATGCCAGCTCCGATTCTGGAGGAACTTCTAAAAACACTTTTGAATTCGCTAATTGTCTTAAATGTACGTGTTGAAATTCGCGAAATAAAGTTTCCGGTGATTTATATACGCCTGCGCTGACATGCAAATGTAAAGTTTCTTTTTCAGTCATAGTTACTTCGGGATATCCTTTAATTATAAGTTCCACAGCTTCCCCCTCCTCCACAGTTAGGGGCAAAAGCACAGGAAACTTTCGCGTTTGCGAAATTATAAGGTTTTCGCGGACGCCGAGTATCCTTAAAAGGGAGGATGCTCTTTCTTGAGTAATATGCAGCTCCGTGTTTTCTGACACCTTTATTTCTAGTTGGGACTTCGTCTGATCGTAGGTGAAAGTGACAAAATTTTCCAATTTAAGATCTTGGATATTTTTTGCTACGTCGCCAAAGAGACCCCTAGATACATCTGCTTTTATTAAGGTTAACGGAATCAAATGCAGTTTCGTGCTAGAAGGGCTCCTATTTATGATTGAAAATAACTGATCTTTATTTTCAGCTATTGATCTGAATCTCATCACTTGAGATTTTTTAATAATAGTATCTTCATCTGGTAAGTAAAACATCTGTAACATTTTAGGAGCTTTTCTTTTAGAAATGTGTACTTCGAAACCATTTGCAAGAACCCAGCGAATACTCCTCCCTTCATGTTCTAGAACGAATTTCACAGCGTCCTCTCTACCGAGAATGGTACTACTAATTTTATCATTCAGTTTTGATAAAAATTCCTCTAGAGAAACATCTGCGTTTACCGAAACTAAAACGCCATAATTAAATGATAAAGTATGGCGTGAAAATTTAATAGGAATGCTTTTCTCCACATTCCTAGTTATTACATAGTCATTATTATACTCTCCCACATTATACCAATTTCGTGGAATAAAAATTTCAGTTAGACCTACTTCCCAAGAATCGTTCAATAACAGAGGAGAGGCGAGTTTTGTTCGATAAGATGATTGATTGTTTAGAGGGAAATACTGCATGCTCGCATTGCTGGGGTAGAGTAACGTAGAATTCGTCTGTCATTTCATCCATGACGCTTTCACCCACGAATTAAACCGTCGATCAAAGCCTTTCCACTTGACGAAATATTCTTTCTTAGCACCGACACCTCTCGTTTGCAGAATTTTTTCCACTCTCCAGAAATCGTGAGAACTCTTTAATACTTTTTGTAACTCTTGTTCGTAAAACCTTCCTTTCAGAACTGTTCCTTTTAAATCTTTAAGCAGATATGTCGGAGGACTCGAAGGATATCTCTTATATATGACAAAAACCTCATCCGTCCAACTGGGCAAATAACCTTTGCGAAATGCTCGCCTTGTTTTAGAAATCCTCACCTGGTCATTTACCTCAAATTTGTATCTCGGTTTTATGCTATAGCCATACAGTTTTTCAAAAATTTCACTTTCTAGTTCCGGCTTCACGTCGGCAGGTGCATAACCAGTACTACGATGAATACTCAAATTATAGCTTTTCAAAACTGATTTCAAGACATGCACATACCTGTAGGAATTGGTGTAAGTAAATATTCGATAGAGTTTAGATTTTAGCGTTCGATTAAATCGCTCTACAACACTCGCCTTGTATTCGCTGTTAGAGGCATAATGATGTATTCCATGTCTTCTAAAATAGTCACGAACTTTTTTATTAAAAAATTCTTTTCCCTCATCTGTTTGTAAATTCACCACAAAATTTGTCTCCTTAAATAGCTTCTTAAATCCTTCGAGTACAGAATCTGCACTCTTCGATTTTAAAGGAATGGCATACCCGCGTTTAGAAAACACATCAATTGCTGTTAATAAATATTTTACACCATCGTTATATTTAGAGAGCTTAGACAAATCAATCAAATCGCATTGCATTAATTCTCCAATGCCGAAAGACAACACCTTCCGTCGTTTGAAATTAAAGCGAACTGGTTTATGTAACGTATAAGCATCCTGTTTCATTAACCATCGACGCGTCGTTTTCAACGGAAGTTGTGCGGCACGAGCCAATCTTACCATCTTACCACTCCGCCATACGAAGCGGGGTTTTCTACATCGTAATAGATATTTTCTAAAATTGCGTCGGCATCGTTTAAAGCTCCTCCCATTTCTCTTTATAAGGTGCTTGACTTTGGGATCTCCCTCTTCTTTCCTGCTGTACTTTATATCTCTGCTGTTTTCTTTTTGTTTGATGATCGAAGTCTTTCACATTTGATGGGGGCCATCGAAAGACATTTTCCTCGCCGCTCGAGGATTTATTTTCTGTGAGGGGGTAGTGCGATGAGGTATCTCTCATGCGAGACAACACATTCTGATTCCCTATCCATGAGCGCGGTATATTAATTTCTTCGATAGCCTTTAGAAATACATCGAAATGCCTTGGCTCTTGAGCATTTTTTTATATTTCTCATTAGGTAATTAAAGAAATCCACCATACTGGATCCCTGAATCGTTTTACCGTCAAGAATCATTTCTCCGCGATCGTTCCATGAATAAAGCCTCGATTTTAATTTTTCGGCGACCAGAGGCACCAATCTAGAAAATTTCTGGGGTGTTGATAGAATAATATCCCTAATAACAGGATCTTCCACTTGCTGGAATCCCTTCTCTTCTTTGGTTTCTTTCGCTTCATTCGCAAGGCTCACACGTATAGGTTCTGGTGGTGCGTGCACTGTTCTGTGATACCGCGTGATTAGTTGCCCCAACAACTTTGCTTTCATGTCGTCGGGTAATTTTGCTCTTTCTAATAACGTGTCTATGTCATCTTCCAATCTCAATTCTGGCTTCTGAAGATGATAAGACGATACCAATTCTTCGGGTATGAGAGCCACTCTTTTGGCCATTGTAGCCCAAAATTGGGATTAAGAATTTTTTTACAGTCGTTTGCTAATAACTGGTCCTAAAATACCACCCAAGGCAGATATTATTGCCGGAGCAATCAATGGTAAAAAGCCTCCCGATTGGTTGACTAAATTTTTTTTTTTCTTTTGTATGCTTTCGTGTTTTTTAGATAGCAACCTTAATAGATTCTTATATTTTTTTCAGCTTACGTACATTAACGGGGATATTTCCATTCAAAATATTTAAACAAACTTCGCGCAGAGAGATAAAATTTGATCCTTATTTGCAGTCTGTAACAAAGCACGTTTCTGCGATGGGTGGGAATGAGCTAATATTCGCAAGAAATGATACTGCTTTTTCAAATTCTTCTTCGTCATTTCGGACGAAATAACCACAGTATTCCGTCTTTATCTGGAAACAGATTTTCGCGCATCCGATACTCCTCCGATGTTTGAGGGTGTAAGTCAATAACTAAATAACCAAAGGGTTTCGTAGTTGCTTTTATATAAGCATCCGTCAAAAAATGCCAGTTCTGAGGATATAACTGTCGTCCTAAGCAACTAACTTGGGAGACATCTCTTGCATTTTTAAACAAAATGATATAATGCGCATTAAGACTAATGTCGCGCATAACCTTTAAACGAGGGAATAAGTTTTGTAATATCACTATAACGCTGACTTCACAATGGTGTGAGGCGGCAGTAAAAAGATCGGCAATTTTCTCATTTAGTCGATGCATCAGGTCATCGACCACTATCAAATCCCCTTTTTCGTATCTATCCGGAAGACCTTGAATGAATTCAATGTCTGGTTCTTCCCAAAACCAAGGTGCGGAATACGAATAACACCATTTTACTTTTCTGATAGGGGCTTCATATATTCGATTTCGTATCATTTCGCGTACCAACGAAGTTTTACCTGATTGACTCGGGCCAATAACCAAACAGGAACTTGGATGTTTGAATTTTAACATCGCTGATAAATTCCTTTTTTTTTTTTTTTTCTTTAACAAAAATATATTTACATTCATCCAACCGTTTCCGATATCCGAGGACTCAAATGTCTATACATTTTGTCTGCAAAAACTGCATAGTTTCATAAATTCCCCCCTCATCATTTGTACGCCAATTATATCGGCTTTCAACATATCGATATCTTTCCAAAAATAACGTATATCATAAACTGTTTTATTCTCTTTTACACATACATGCAAAAACAATTTTCGACCAATATAAACTGATTCCTTACAAGTAGAATTTCTTAAATCCACTTTCCCTTCACCCCATTCACAATTCCTCATTAATTCTCCGAAAAATATTCCTACGACGACTATTGTTATTGCCAAAAATAAAACGAAATTTATAATAAAAATACTCCATTTTGTTGCACTCATCTTGCATCTACTACTCTTAATTCTCACTTTCAACTCCCTTTTTATACTAAATATTTCCAAAAAGAAAAAAAAAAAAAGAAAAAGAAAAACGAAAATGCACAAGCGAACTCAAGACAACGAACCCAATGAATGACCTGACGTTTTATGGGTTACTGCTGGTCGTCTCCGACCCCCCGCCGTCCAAAGAAGGTTAAAAAAACTACCAAAAAGAAAAGAAGAAGATACTACTTTTAAGAAAATCGAAGGCGTTTTATGAATGGTGTACGAGGGGGACAAGCATTCACAACGTCGCTGCTGTCCTTCACTTACACCATCCAAAAAAACGTTAAAAATACTACAAAAAAGCACTCACAGCTGGTGGCTATCAAACAAAAGAAACCTACCGATCGACAACAAACATGTTCCAAAAGTCAACAACCGAGAGGTCAGTCTCTAACTAAAGCAATCCCATTTTAGAAAAACATGGTATATGACAAACAGTCTCGCCTACATTACCGCCTACTACTACATCCAAGTACTTTTGAAGGTCGACTGCACTTCCGGGGTGCAGGGATACTCAAATCCTAACTACTTGCTCGAAGCAGGAATCGATCTCGTCACAATACTCGAACGCAGTACAAAGAACCCACAAGAGGCATATGTTTTTATCATATGCATTTTGACTCTCAAGCTCGCAAGTGTGCCCCTCCATGCAATTTTGAACAAGCGGGAAACTAAATGGGCGGTCTTCTGCTGGCCAACAGAATGTCCGCCACATCGACAGAATAGTACTGGCTGATCGTTCAACTCAGTTATGTTTTCTAGTAGATACTGGAGCTGACATATCAGTGCTCCCGAGAACTAAAACAAATGCTCACCAACTTAATAAACTTGTACTGTATGCAGCCAATGGTACCCAAATTGCAACCTACGGCACCAAACTATTGACACTTGATTTAAACTTGCGCCGGACTTTCAACTGGCCTTTTATTATTGCGGATGTAACTCAAGCAATTATTGGTGTCGACTTCTTGACACATTTCCACCTTCTAGTGGATGTCAAGAATAATTGCTTAATTGATGCTACAACTCAGCTGACATCACAGGGCCAAGCTTCTCACATATCAAACGTACCTACCAACATAAGTGTTTGTATCGGGCAGCACACGGTTTCATCGGTTATTAGCAGAATTCCCTGACATTTTAAACCCATCCAAATCAGGGCAGCATACTCATCAGCCAGAAGTGTATCATCACATTGAAACACATGGCCCACCTGTATTTTCCAAGCCTCGTCGTCTTTCTCCAGAGATGCTAAAAGCTGCTCGCAAAGAATTTGAATTCATGCTAGCACAGGGAACCATTCGCCCATCTAAAAGTCCATGGGCCAGTCCACTTCACATGGTTAAAAAGTCTAATGGTGACTGGCGGCCTTGTGGAGATTATCGTCGACTTAATGCCGTCACAGTCCCTGACAGATATCCAGTCCCACATATCCAAGACTGTACCCATCTTTTTCATGGAACAAACATATTTTCTACCCTCGATCTTGCCAGAGCATATCATCAGATCCCAGTGCATGCTGAAGATGTGCCCAAGACCGCAGTGACTACACCATTTGGTCTCTTTGAGTACTTATATATGCCATTTGGCCTTCGCAATGCTGGCCAAACATTTCAGCGTTTCATACACCAAGTACTGTCTGGTCTCGATTTCTGCATCCCATATTTTGATGATATCCTGGTTGCATCTACAGATGCGGAAGAACATTTTAAACATCTGCGTCAGATTTTCACTCGCCTTAAAGATCATGGATTAAAACTAAATCCATCCAAATGTGTACTTGGTCAACCCTCAGTTTCCTTTCTTGGATGTCTTATCACCCAGAATGGAGTCAAACCTTTACCGGAAAGAGTCAAAGCAATTAACGACCTACCTCAGCCCAAAACCATCTCTGAACTGAAGCGTTTTCTAGCAATGTTAAATTTCTACCGACGCTTTCTGCCAAATGCCGCAAAAACACAAGCCTGCCTACATGAGTTTCTGAAGAATAGCAAAAAAAAAAAAAAAACGATCAACGAGCTGTCCCTTGGACTGAATCTGCATCTGCAGCATTCGTGCAATGCAAACACGATCTGGCAAATGCAGCCACACTTTCTTATCACTCACCTAGTGATCAGCTCTCTATAATGGTAGATGCATCTGACACGGCCATAGGAGCAGTGCTTCAAGCCCATACCACTAAAGGACTTTTCCCCAATGGCATTCTTTTCCAGAAAACTCACTACTGCAGAAAGGAAATACAGCACATATGACAGAGAGCTACTTGCTGTGTACTGTGCTGTTAAATACTTCCGGCACAACTTGGAAGGACACGACTTCATCATTTTCACCGATCATCGACCATTAACCTTCGCTTTTAGAAAAAACTCTGACTCATGTTCTCATGTTCTCCTCGTCAGCTTCGACATCTGGATTTCATCGCCCAGTTTAGTACAGATATCAGATATGTCTCTGGTACTGATAATTGTGTCGCTGATGCCTTGTCTCGGGTAAACAATATCAACCTCACTACCCCAGATTTCTCTGAAATTGCAAAAGCTCAATTGCATGATGAGGAACTCAAGAACCTAATCTCAAATCCACAAACCTCCCTTCAGTTACAACCCGCTGCACATTGATCCAACGCTTAAAATTTACTGTGACATAGAGAACAATAGAATACGTCCCTATATTCCTGTCAATTTTAGACGTGAAGTGTTTAATGCCTTGCACAATTTGGCACATCCTGGAATCCGTGCCACCAAAAAGCTGATCGCAGACAGATTTGTCTGGCCAGCGATGAATCAAGACATCACAGAATGGACTCGTTCATGTATTAGATGTCAACGGTGTAAAGTATCCCGTCACACTCACAGCCCCATTCAACAATTTAACCTTCCAGCAAGACGCTTTGATCATGTACACTTAGACTTGGTTGGCCCATTGCCTCCTTCAAATGGTTACACTTACCTCCTCACTTGTATTGATCGGTACACAAGATGGCCTGAAGCCATTCCTATTGAAAATATATCCGCTGAAACTGTAGCTCGAGCATTCATCTCCCAGTGGCTTTCAAGATTTGGCATGCCTACCACCATCACTACTGACCAAGGCCGACAATTTCAATGTCACTTGTTCGCATCCCTCACCTCTCTTCTTGGCATTCGCCATATTCGCACAACACCATACCATCCATCTGGAAATGGGATGGTGGAACGCTTTCACCGATCTCTCAAACAAGGTCTGAAGTGCCACAGTAGCACACACTGGACAGAAGCCTTACCCCTAGTCTTGCTTGGTCTTCGCACAGCATTCAAAGAAGACATTGGTAGCACTTGTGCTGAAATGTTATATGGTGCAACCCTCCGTCTGCCAGGTGAATTCTTTCACCCAGAATCTACTCCAGTTATCGACCCTCCAACATTCCTTCAACGTTTACGTGAGACCATGAGCAATATCTCGCCAACCCCAGCATCTTCGCATAACCAGCCAAGCTATTTTGTACATCCTGCGCTTGAGACATCTTCGCACGTATTCGTGCGCAACGATGCAATTAAGCCAACTTTAACACCTTCATATGATGGTCCATTCAAAGTTGTCAAACGAACACCGAAACATTTCACCATCATCTGCAATGGCAAACAATCAGTGATTGGAATCGATCGTCTCAAACCAGCATTTCTAATGCAAGATCCAACAACTTCCTCATCAACATCACTCCCGGAAGAAAGCTTACATCCCGTTAAAGAGCAACCTAAAACTACCAGATCTGGAAGAAAGGTTAAATTTAACCCAAAGTACTTATAACGTACCGATGGTACTTGGGGGGGAGTACTGTGGCGTTCCGACAGATACTTCAACTTCTATTCATGAGATGGCGCCACGTGTAAAATCCAGTTCTTAATCGGAGCAGCAAAGCGACATCTTTACTCACTCAGACTTCTCGTCGGACAAGTGTACGCGACGCTAGCACGAACTGTGTTCCGAGCTCTGTGTTGATCTCTGCAATGTAATTTAAATTGTAATTTAGTACTTAATATATTCTTTTGTTATAGGAGATTGTCTACTCTTATTTTCTTTAATTATATCATGCATTAAGCACACACGACCACCAAAGGGTTAGAACTGCCTCTGAGGATAAGCCTACACAGTCTCACGAGCTGCAGATAAAAAATCTTTTTCCAGTATAACGTTGCCATTGCTCGCTTTGAAAGAATTGAGTTTGTTAATCAAAAATTCGTTAAAGTTTTACAAAATTTGCAATCGATAATAAAACAAATTTCAAATTCGGGCTTTCAGATGCCATATTCGCAGTAGGGTTACGTCATTGAAAATTTGATGGCTCTAGGTACCCTTGTTTTATCACAATGTGAGAAACATACATACATTTATGCAAATTCTTCATTATTTAATTTCTTCAAATTTAATACAGGGCGATAATATTTGATGGCAGCAGTTTGAAAAGTGAAACGGACATTCAGAGATTTGACGCAAATTCGCAAAACGGAAACAAAAGTCCCTCGAGGACAAAGCCCCTTTGTACTAATAATATTCGATCGCAAGGAGGAAGAGGATCGCTCAACGAAAATGGAAACACGGTGTGTTGTTGACGTTTTGAGTGTTTTAAGAGCGATGCGTTCATGTTATTATGCAGTAAAGAGCTGTTTAGTTTATAACTGCTGTAACGTTTATGGAGCAATTAAGCGTTGATAAGCAAGCTGTAATAACTGAAAGGTTATTAGCTTGGGAAAGTGAAACTAATCCTCTTGCACCTCTCACTGAAGTACAACTGAAAAATATTGCTCTTCTTTCAGAAATTTCCTGTGAAAGACCTTTTCCAACTAATGTAAGCATGTAAATAATTCATGAAAAGGAAATAATGGCTTCAATTTTTTAGGAGTTAGAAAATTATTGGGAAATCTTATTTCATTTGTTATAGTTTTAATTTATGAACACCTTTTTTAAATTTAAAATAAACTAAAAATCTGAATCAGCTAAAACCTGAACTAACCTGTATGTAAATTTGTGGTTGATCTTTACAATATGGTAACTGGTAGTTTGGCGACATTTTGGAGGCGATAAAGGTTACTACCTGGACTTTGGGAATAATGTGAGCAGTACTCAGTTCCGATTACGCATTATTTTGCGTGAGGGAAATGAGAGATCATGGGATATGTCATGTGATATTAATGGACGAATTACGGTTCTTTAATCGGAAAAGGGGGGAAATCGGGGAAAAAATGTGGAAATTTTGTGTTTAGCTTTATTCTGTGTTGTGTAATTTTTGGATCCCATGGCCCTAATTAAAGTGAATTCGAAATGGGTATTTAGGCATTGTGATAAAGAGAAGTTTGCTTTTTATTTAGCGGAGGAAGCATGGAGGAAAAATTCGCAGAAAAAATCTCAATAATTTTATTGAATGAATTAGAAAAGTGTATCCGCCACGTAATCAAGATTCTGAAGAAGATTAGGTAAGTTAGTATTTTTAATTATTTGAGGATATTATTTTTATGCATTGTTCTAAATGTAAGGTGGAAAGGAATTTGGTATTATTGGGAAAATTGTTATTAGCAATGATTTAGTTTAAAGTAATTAGGATTGTAAGGTAATTTTTATTAATTTAATGTATGTGCTCATTTCTACTTTAAGTAGTGTTTTTGAATTTAATTATATTTTAATGAAATGATAGTTATTTTGTGAATTTTATGTTTGTAGGAATTTGGTATACGTTTAAGTTGAAATAAACGTGCATGGAAATAATTTAAATATTTGATACTAAGTATTTGTAATGCTTGCGGTATGAATTCGTTGGTGACGTGTATAATGTAATAGATGATTTAGAGGTAAAAGGTTTTGGATATTTTATTTATTTTATATGTGGAAATGTTCATATTTGTAAAGGATAAGTACTTTTTCGCGATCAGGTAATTTCATATATGTTCTTTTTACTGGGTTTAAAGATTGAGAAAATTGTCATGTATTTTCGTGAAATTTTTCTAATTTATGAGAAAAAAGCAGTGTACATGGATATAGTGAAGAGTGCGCGCAATGCCATTTTTGTGCAATTCTGGGATGTTTTTTTAAGTAAAAATAAGTCGGCATGTACATGGTTTATGTTTATGTGTTATTTTGAAAAACGCGTAAGGAGTATGGTATTGTGCACTTTTCCCAATTTTGCAGTGAATATTTGTCTTGATTAAGCAGTTTTGTTTGATAAAATTTCTAGCATAAGTGTAATTCGGCTAGTAGATTGTTGGAAGAAGTGTTCAGTAGATAAGAAGAAAAGAAACATGTCTTTACTTCGTGAAGACAAAATGGCGGCGGGGAAAAAAAAATAGAGGATTGCTGTAGGAGAGTTGGTTGTCAAATTTTCGCCAAAAAATCGCCAAGTTACCATAATGTAAAGATCAACCAAATCTGTTATTAAAAAAAAAGTTATGAGAATAACGGAGATCTGTGTATGAATTCAAAAATGCGAAGTAAAACATTATTCTGGAGGTCGCTCAGCCGGTAATGCGGTTTGTGACCCTTGACTGCTGTAGCGATAGGCCAGAGTTCGAATCCCGGAGAAGGCACGGTTGTAACTGTCCGTCACCTCATAAGAGGCAACGGTGGCCACCTATTTTAAGTGTGAAAAGTGTCATCTATTACCATCTTGGATATTACTAAGTTTGTATTTATATTTATTTGCATTTTGAGTATTCTCTGATGGTATTTGATACATTTAGCTGAGAAATATTTTGCTACATTTTATTGATATTTTCTGGTATTTAGAAGCTTTTGAAAAACAGATATCTATAAAATGGTTACCTTTTCGTATTTCGGAATCTCTTGTATGCTATGGAAGTAAAGTGTGATAGATGAAATCAAACATTATTTACTTTCCCCTCCCTTTAAAAGTTATTTTTTTTTTTTTTTATATTCAAGTCTAGCACTTCTGAATTCTTTAAAATTACAGATACTGGATTTTTTATTGTATAATTATTCCGAATATAAAATTGCTTTTCATTATATTGAATTAGAATAGGTACTTTCTGATTATTCTATCCCCATTAAAAGTCACCAACTCATTAATGACTTTGTGAATTGATGAAAAATGTTTGTCTGTATGATTTGTACTTATAAAAAAAAAAACATACCATTGAAGAAATCCAATGCTTTCTCCTTCCTTCAGCCAGTAAACTTCACAGTTTTAGTGCTGACCATTAGTTAACAATAACAACAAAAATCGTGGGTAGGGGGACTCTGATCAGTGAAAGCATATAAATCCATAATGCACATGTATACATGAGTTGGCTATTATCCGTATACTTGAAAATATGCCAAAAATGTATCAATTATGAAACTAAGGGTTTGCTAAAAATAAGGGTGCAGATAATCACAAAGTACAAATTTATTTGGTAAAAGTTTACAATTGGGTGCCCCTTGTTTATTGGCGATTCTTTTTTGACTCCAAGATCGGTGCCAGGAAGTCAAAATTTCAAGATGGCCGCTACACAAAACCAAAATAAGAAGTCGAAGAATTGCATAAGATCTGTGTCCATGTACACATCGATCTGTTTTTACTTAAAAAAACATCCTAGAATTGCACAAACTAGGCATTGCTCACTGCCTTAAATATGATCATGTACACATCAATCTATTTTCATTTAAATAAAATTGGGAAGCTAAAACAAAGTTAAAACTATCGTGGTAACCAGAAGTGAGGTTTCATCGCCAAAGTTAAAAAAACAATGTCGCCAATTGAAGGGGCACCCAATTCTACATTAAAGCCATTTATTTTGCATTCAATGCTCTAATTTCAAAACTATGCTTATATACTATATCTAAATACATCAGATTATTTTCAGGGGATGGGCTTATAATTTTAAGTTTTATTGCAATAATTATAAGAAATTTCTCTGACAGTATTTACGTGTAATTTTTTTAAAGTTTGTAATGGATATTTTCTGAATTCTTAAAAAATCCTGCCTGCATTTTTTATATGCAGACAGGAATGCTGCACATGTAAAATAAAGCATATGAAAGAAAAACATTTTCTTAGTGGTAGTGTGAGTAATGCTCTTATAAGCTTTTTAAGTGAACTTCACTGGCATTTTAATGTGGTCAGATCTTATGATATGCAGATAAATCCAAAATTTTCTGTTTTGATATATTTTTGGGTTTTCATCCGCAGAGAACCCGTTGGCGCCGTTGCATTTTTACTCGCCAAGCTTGCGGTTCATCGACGATGAGCCGAGCCGTAAACGTGATTTTTAGTGCATGTAAGTTGAAATTAGCAGGCAAAACAATATATAAGGCATATGGTAGTAAAAATTCACAGATAATAAGCATGTAGATGTAAAACTAACCGGTTAAACGAGATATACGAAAATAAATTTGTATTAAATTCAAGTTAGCACAGAAAAGAATATATTAAGCGTTTATAACGGAAATAAAAATTTATTTAAAAAATATAAATTAGTATTAATATACTGAAATTAACCAGTTAAACGTGATATACGAAAAAAAATTGTCTTAAATTCCAGTTAACACAGAAAAACAATAACAATTTTGATGCATCAAACTATTCTGTCATCTTAGGTAATCAATAATATTTTTTATTTCAATTAATCATCTATTTATGTCACACCTGCCATCCTCTGAAAGGTTATTGTTAGAAAAGCATTAACAATATATAATCTTGTTAAAATTTTAAGCCATAAAAATTGATTTATGCTCATAATTTTAGATGACAATGACCAATAAAAATAAAAGCATTACTTAATTATTTAAAATGCACATGCACATTTTGACTTATTTTAGAGGTTGGAAACCTCATGTTCCTTAGCGATGTTAATAATTAAGAACACAACGTAAACAGCTGTGTTACAAATTAGCATTCACCCCTCCCGCCGTATTTTCTTCCTCTCATCCCGAACTGAGAACCGGCATCTAACTATGAAAATATTTCTATCTATTCGTTGTTAAAAAATTCAGAAAAAATAATAATAAATAACAGAAGAAGAATGTAAATCTGCAAATGCGAACAGCGACAGTAATAATTCAACAAAATGAACACAAGAGGAATGGTTGCAAACTTCGAACAAGCGAATAGGATAAATCCGATGGGTTACCAGGTGTGAACTATTATCGCCAAAGTTGGCGATGTTTACATTTACCGGGTTCTCTGCGGAAGTGCTTCCATATTTTTTAAGTTTTTAAGTTAGTATGAGCTTGTATCTCAAAGCACTTTTCACACTGTTTAATGAGTATCTTTGTGTCCTTAGAAAAGTAATCTGGTGGAAAAAGTATAGTTTAGGGTACTCTTGGCGATTTTTGGCGGTACATGGATACTGATTTTGTACAATTCTTTGACTCGTTATTTTGGCTTGTGAAGCGGTGATTTTTGGTCAAAAATCGCCGCTACACAAAGCCAAAATAACAAGACAAACAATTGCACAAATTTGGTATCCATGTACACATCGACTTATTTTCACTTAAAAAAAAATCCCCGAATTGCACAAAAATGGCATTGCGCACTCTTTTAACTTTATCCATGTACACGTCGACCTATTTTCACTTAAAAAAAAAAACTCTGAATTGCACAAAAATGGCATTGCGCACTCTTTTAACTTTATCCATGTACACGTTGACCTATTTTCACTTAAAAAAAAATCCCAGAATTGCACAAACTTGCATTGCGCACTCCCTTTACTTTATCCATGTACGCATCGATATATTTTCACTTAAAAAGTCAAAGGAACATCAAATTCTACAATAAAAGCAAACAAAAAATACACAATCTCAATAAAATACATTTTAAACCAAACAATAAAATAACATAAAAAAGGAAAAACATGTTATACATTTAAGCACTACCAAAAACAAATATTCACTTACCATGATTTTTGAATTCGCTTCGTACACCCAGAGCCATGTAAAAATCAAAATATCAATCATACTCAAATGACTTTTTTCAAACCAGGTACTCTTTCTGATCGAATACTTCACATAGTGACCATCTGAACCTTTCTTCCTACAAATCCATCGGTTTGTCCTCAGAATATTCCACAACTGCTTTGCTCATTTCATTATAATCATTAAATCTCTTTATATTATCATTAAATCTGTAAAGGTTGAATTTCAGTTTAGGGAAGAGATAAAAATCACATGGAGTTATGTCTGGGCTGTAAGGGGCATTGTCCTTAAATCCACATTGCTGTTTTTGTATTGCTGAAGAGATTGCATTGCCCGTCTCACAGATCTTTTTTTCTGTATGAAAATGTTCATTAATAAATTTAATAATTAGTGCTGCTACTACACTGGAATTTATAACCAAGCATTTTTTTATAAGGCTCGAATTTTTAGATCTACCTGCATTAATTTTTGAAGAATATTTCATTTTCACTGAGGCTTACTTGATTGAGTATTTTGTATACACATAGTACATGCACTCTGGCACAGAAAAATATAGGCACCCAGAAATCGAGCCACAATCATGAAACTCGGTAGGAACGTAGTCTGGTAAGAGATATGCAAATGATTTAAATTTTGCCCTCAATAAGAGAAGGTTAAGTGTGGTATGCACATATGAGATGTGCAGCTGGGAGAGTTTAAAAACATGATTGCTCGTGCCACAGGTCTATTCAAACAAATCTGTCAACTTGGATGGACAGTTTTCTGACTAGCAATGCGTGTGTAACATAACCAGTGGTAGTATGAACAGTTGTCGGACTTCGAGAAAGGGCACATAGTAGGCCTCTGAGAAGCAGGTTAGTCAAACAAGCATATCAGCCGCCACCTTGGTTGGAGCGATGTGGTACTTGCTAGGTGTTGGTGATAATGGATCACGGAAAGGATATTGCAGGAAGTCGGCATCTCAGGAACACAAATGGTTAAAACTGGTTTTTATAATCATATTAATTTAACAATTTATGTGCTTGAGAGTGATAAATATTGAGAATTTGAAAGTGATAAATATTTTTGTCTCAAATGAATTCATTCAAGAAATAATTATAAAAAAACTTTCATGCTATTTTATGTATTTCTTATTCTGTATAATTATACTCTTTATTATTTCTATTAGCTACCAGTAGATAATGATGTTATATTGCTGCAGAAAGATGAAACTGAAGATGAAGGTCAAAGAATAGATTTGTTAAATTTTTCAAAAGATTCCACAATAAAATATAATCAGATTGAAAATACGCAGCAGGTAACAGAACTATGTGTTCTTTTCATAAAATATTATGTAGTGTATATAAATTAATACATTGAATGATAGTCTGAGTTTTATTTAAATCAAAATTTTAATGGAACAGACATGAAATAAATATAACTTCTGGGCAGGTTTTTTACATTCAAAATGTTCTATTAAATTTCACAGCATTGACAATTTTTTAATTTTTTAAAAATATTTTTCATCAGATACTTTTATTTAGGAAACAATGGAAGAAGATATGGCATATTTGTTAGTTTAACTGTGCAATTTCGTATTCCGTGTTTAAATCTCGTTCTGAGAAAAAAATTAAAAGTACAAGAACAACATCATTTTGAAGGATTGTATTGCATTTTGCAAGACTGTAAGAAAAAAATTGAAATGTCATCCTTATTTGAACAAATATTGGCACTTTCTGACTGTCCATACTTCTATCAAAAAGTTGCAAACTTGTTTCGAACTTTGGAGAGAAATGTTTGTTTGGGTAAATGCATCCGATACCACATACTCACCTTCTTATTATACATAGCAATCTGTTTTCACTAAAACAAATTCTGAGAACTGCACAAACTCAAAATTGCTCTTAACTCTGCTCCAAAAATCCTAAAATAAGATGGGAAAAAGAGGCATTTGAAGCCATATTACACTGTATTTGTACAGAAAGTTACGTTTAAAATTTTCCTGAAGGTGATGAAAATTGCATTATGCCATCCATCACTGTTCTAAGATATTGAAATTTCCATAAGAGGGATCATAATCTGTTGTCGCATTGGTGAAAATGTTTGGATGAGTGGAAAGCTGTGAGGGATATTGCATAAATGCTTTTTTGGCAAAATGGGGCACTGTATTGTTAATACTTTTTCAAGCCTTTCCAGTGAGAATGTGGATAATCAGGAAAGACTCAAGCATCATAAAAAAAAAATAAAAAAAAAAAAGATTTATTTAGATCAAATATGATCTAGCATGACCTCAAATGCTTTTAATTCAGATAGCTTTAATGTCTGAAATTACTTCACACAGTTTTAGAAAAAAGAGGAACATAGAAGGACAACATAGTTCCTTTCAGTGTTTTTCAGAATCCTAATTAATTCTGTGCTGTCTTAATCCTAAATAATTAGTGCTGCCTTTTATATTATATAGTTTAACACTTGGCAATGAAAATTCAGAATATGTATGAGTGCAAGAACTTGAAGGTGAATTGTAAACACAAGTTATATAAAATTGTCTGGGCTCTTTTGTAATATAACATTCTTGTTGAAGAACTTTCATGTTGAAGCTTTGAAATCCTTTTTTCTGAGCATGAGTATTATTCACTCATAGTTTACAAAACAGTTGTATTTTACTATGGTTATTGCACCAGTCTAAAATATTGTAATCTTTTTTTTTTATCATTGTTTAATAACTATTCATTTTTAAAAGGACACTGATCCATTTTCATAATTGTATGATAAATTAAAAAATTCCTTGCATTTACTTCTTATCACCAGCATATCGAATAGAAAGAAGGAATTGAAAATGGGATTTTAAAGTAATTCATGCAATTTATACTAGTAAACTGCAATTTGATTATAGTGCAACTTTAATGGATTGATTTAACAACTAGAAGCAACAATTGGTGAACTTCACAGTCTTCCAAAAATTGTAATATGAAAATCATCACTTATGTACCAATTAGAAATATTATTTTTGTTGCCATAAGTAATCAAATTAGCTTTGTAAATGCATTGAAATGTATTGTTAGGAATATTATGATCATTAAATGATAAATAACTTATTTATATTGATCCATATATTAATGCAGGATCTCTTCATCATCATCATTATTATTGTTATTGATTTATACAATTATTTTAATAGAAATCTTAAACATCTCAATTATATGTAATTTGAGCAGAAAAAGTGACTAAAAAGGACCTTTTTCTTTTTCTAAAAAGGACCAATAACTTGAATTCATTGGTAAAAATAAATACATAAAGGCAAGAGTTACATCCATGTAAACACTGTCAGTCAGATTAAAAATATTTTACTTACTGGAATTTTTGCATTATGGAAACCATTAAAATTTCGTGTTAATGTTTACAGAACTCTCCCATTCATACTGCTGAAGTTATTTACACAGTTTTTAATCTTGTTTTGAGAAACTTAACTGAAAGTGCAAAGTTTTGAGAATTTTTGCTGAATCGGTTTTTAAAGAAAAACTTACCTTTTCACATAACCTGTATATACCGAAGGACCATTACATTATAACCACTCTGTTAATAACATGTAGGATCACCTTCAGCCCTCAAAACTGCAAGCATGGCATTGACCCCAGAATGTGCTGATAGGTAATGCACGAATTTGGTTTTTCCAGGTGGGCCTACAAATGCTGTATTGAATTAATGTCAGGTGAATTTGGAAGCCAAGACATGTCTTGAAAGTCACTGGACTGTTCTCAAACCACTCCCTGATGATTTGACCCTTATGATATGGTGCATTATTCTGTTGGTAAGCACCATCCCCTGCCAGAAATACTGTTGTCATGAATGGGTCAACCTGGTCTGCAACGATGTTCACGTAGCGCACAGATGTCAGATTGTTCTGTGGGGAATATGGGTCCTAATGTGCTCCATGAAAACATTGCCCTCACCCTAATACCCTCACTACTGGCTAGTCTCTGTCCAACTGTGCTCCAGGAACCAGAGTTTCGTTTGGAAATCAGTGTATTAGCACACGTCTGTTGATGTGATGAACCAGAAAACATAATTCTTTGGACCACGCAGCTTTCTTCCATTCTTCTAATATCCGATTCCGATGTTTCTTGGGCCCATTGCAGATGCAGCTGGTGATGATGTGTCGTCACTGCAGAGACATGCTTCGGCCTTTGGCTGCTTAGGTCCATACACAACAATGCACAATGCACAGTGAGTTGAGAAACATTGTGTGGTCTCTGGAATCAATGCACCGTCGACGACATGCTGCTGACTGGCGACTTGTTATTTCACCATCCATACACAACTTTCGATATGTGCTCACAAGAACTGCACGCGAACAGCCCACCAAATGTGCCGTTTCTGATATTGATGTTCCCAGTCACCAAGCCATAACAATTTGACCTTTATCAAAGTCTGATAAATCAGTTTTTTTTCCCAATATGTCTCTAATTGTGCTGTGTTTGGAAAGACAATGAATTGTCACTTTATATAATCCAACATCAACCGCGCATGTGCAGGGATTTTGTTCCTGAGCGTGCCCATTGTTATAGATGGAGGGGGGTTCATAAAGTAAAAGCTCTTCGGTGTATATCTTGAAAGTTTGTAAGTTAATTTTTGTGTTAATCAACCTCTTCTTCTTTAATGGATTTCAATTTGTTGCAATTTCAGTTCCTTTCTTGGTTTACTACTGTGGAAGAACAGCTAGTCGAAGATGAAAATATATTGTACAAGTGGGTATTTACTTATAAAACATTTTTTAATTTGCTTGAAAAATTGTTTCAGTTGGATTTTGCAGTTTAAACTTAATTGTATAAGATATTTGAATACCATTTTGCAAAGAGTATTTTATTTCCCCCCCCCTTCATCAGGAAGTGACATAAAATTATTTTTAAAAAAATGTAGATTGTTGGTATTTTGAATTTCTGAAATGGTTTAAAATTCACTAATTAAGGCCAACTACTATTTTAGCAATCTCCTACTTGAAGACCTGGTGTACCTTGATAATTAATTTAGCATTACCTTTGTAATAATTTTAGCACTAGTCAAGGTGCACGTCCCACTGGTGCAGCTTGTATAATGCTAAATCTGTTATAACCATCATCAATACCTCGCAATCATTTATAATCAAAAGTAAGAGTATAAGAGTAAAATTCAGAATTTTTTAAAAATTTGTTTCTGAAACTAAAGTATGTGTTAAAAATTGGTCCAAGATTTAAAAAGTAGGTAAAAGTATAATTTAGGGTACCACTTGGTGAAACTTGGCGATTTTTGGCGGTACATGGATACCAATTTTGTGCAATTCTTTGACTCGTTATTTTGGCTTGCGAAGCGGCGATTTTTGCGCCAAACATCACCGCTACACAAAGCCAAAATAACGAGAAACAATTGCACAAACTCGGTATCCATGTACACATCGACTTATTTTCACTTAAAAAAATCCTCGAATTGCACAAAAATGGAATTGCGCACTCCTTTAATTTTATCCATCTACATGTCGACCTAGTTTCACTTAAAAAAAAAAAAAAAACCCGAATTGCACAAAAAGGGCATTGCACACTCTTTTAACTTTATACATGTACACGTTGACCTATTTTCACTTGAAAAAAATCCCAGAATTGCACAAACTTGCATTGCGCACTCCCTTTACTATACATGGACACATGGATATATTTTCACTTAAAAAGTCAAAGGAGCACCAAATCCTACAGTAAAAGCAAACAAAAAATACATAATCTCAGTAAAATACATTTTAAACCAAACAATAAAATAACATAAAAAAGGAAAAACATGTTATACATTTAAGCACTATCAAAAACAAATATTCACTTACCATGATTTTCGAATTCGCTTCGTACACCCAGAGCCACGTAAAAAATCAAAATATCAATCATACTCAAATGACTTTTTACAAACCAGGTACTCTTTCTGATCGAACGCTTGACATAGTAACCATCTGAAGCTTTCTTCCTACAAACCCATTCAAATCCATCTAAACGTTTCTTGCGTTCAACTAGATGCATATCCTTCCTACATACAGGACACTTATAACGGCTACTAAGTAAACTTTCATTTACACAGCAGTCAATTAAAGCTCTTTTCCTCTTTCGCTCCAAATCGTACAGAAAAATTCAAATTAATCTTACTACATTCGGCCATTCTACAGTCTAAAGAATCAAACCAACAAACACCACAAAAACGCTTACAAAACATCCCATGATTCAAAATTTCCCATAATCATGCACCTGATTAGGTCACAATAGGGTTTCCATAACATTCAACTACTCAGGCTACCATAAATGAAACAACTTGGCGATAAATCAAAGAACAACTTCGCCATAATACAAGGGGTACCTTAAAGTGTACTCTACCCAAAAAGTATAAGTCGAACTTTAAAAATAGCTTCATTCTCTCCACAATAAGTGTGTATGCAAAATTTGAACTCCATAACTTATTCGGAAATAGACAAAAAATTGATGAAAAGTATTTACCGTAGTGACAAATACTGTGCGCGTTAAGTAGCAGCTTATAAAACGCCGCTAGTTTTCAAATAAACTCTTGACAGTTGCCTATTATAATTTCTTTTTATCAATTTTGATTTGAAAGATGGTGAAGAGTTTGTTTTATAAACTCTAAAAATTTCAAATCTTTGTAGAATATATTAGAATTTTAAAGCTGGTACAAGAATAAAATATTACAAATCTCAATAACATTAAAAAAAATCAGTCTTTCGAATGAAATGCTGAGAAATATTTATGTAAACTTATGAAAAGCAAACATTTAAAAATGATGCAGTAGATTTTCATTACAAATAATTTTAAACGATAATAAAACATTTTGGGGTGATAAAATGAAATAAATTGTAAAATGCAAAATCTATACATAAAAAAAGGAGGAGGAGATATAACAATTATAAAGCGGCAGAAGATTTTTTACAGTAAACTTAACTTCTTTACAGGTAATTCTTTCCAGCAGGGAACTGAGATTAATAAATAAGTAAATTAATTTTAGAGAAATGTATACAAAAGTACAAACATTAATGTGATGTAAAGAGATTCCAAGAAGAAGTGATGATACTTCGCCATTTTCTTCATTGCATATTTTTTTAATTCGCCCAAGTAATGCCTTTTTATTAATTTTTAAGAGGGTGAAGAGTTTGTTTTGTAATTTGGTGGAAATTTTAAACTTTGTTACTGATACATTTTTTATTCAAAATTTAAAAATAATGGTCATCAAAAAGCCTGAAAATTTGAAAGATTCTAAAAAATTCTCAAAAAAATATTAGTAAGTAAAAAATTGTGTTTAAAAGTTCCTCCCCCACCCCACTTTATCCACTGGTGCAAACAATAAGATTCAGAGATCTTTTGGTTGCTCATTAAACAAATATATGCATGAAAATCATTTGAACATTAAATTAAAAAAAAATCTAATTTGAATTTTGAAAAAATCCCAGCACCACATGTACTGTCATCCATAAGCAGTGTATGCACAAATTTTGAGCTAGATACCTTGTCGGGAAGCAATTTAAAAATCGATCACAAACTTTTAACCATGACGACAGATACCATAAGGGAACTAAATAAAAGCTTATAGTAATAATAGTAATAAAGCATTTCTTTTTTGAGAACCATTATGAAAATTCCAGTACCTTGTAGCAACAATAAACAATGTGAAAAAGGGTAAACAATATTAGATGTCAACCAGTTCAATTTACATTTGTGACATCATTGTTCACAGGGGCTTATGGGTAAAGGAAAGGAAGACAGTGGTCCTCTGAACAGATCCTAAAGATGAAATTCCTTCATGTTTCCTTTTTCTCATGTTACTAACATTTTTGTCTAAAAGAGCATTGCATGTGAACGAGGCTTTAAGTTACTGAGCACGGGTAGTTCGATCTGGGTTTGATTCCAGACTAATGTGATGGCTGCATGGGCATTTTCATGGTTTCCCTATGTGTAATGTGGGTACAAGCCATTTTCCCTTAGAAAGTCTTGCATAAAGGCATCCCTTCCCTTAGGCTTATAGCCCATGAGTGCTTTGTTGTAATAATGTAAACTAAACCAAGCCAAACTTTGTCCAAATGGATTGAAGGAAATGAATTTTCAGTCAGTGAGGAAAACGCTGATTTTTTTTTTTTTTTTTTTTTTTTTTACTAGCATCAAAAACTATCAAATTTAAGATATAACAGTCAATACTGAATAAAAATAACATCTCCATCATATTCCTCCCTCCAAACTGTACATCCATCATTCAGCCAATGGATATTGGAATTCTGAATGCTTCAAAATGCATGGCCAAGCGGTAAAGTCTCTAAACACTGGTAGTTCGGCCCGAGGTTCGAATCCCATGAATGGGCTAGCTACATGGGTGTTTTAGTGGTTTTCCCCATGTGTAACGTGTATATGAGCCAGTTTCCCTTAGAAAGTCCTCCACGAAGGCATCCCTTCCTTTAGGCAGGTAGCCCTCGATATTTTGCCATAATTACACAAACAGACACACTTCAAAATGCAAGCATAAAGAAGCCTTTTTTAAAAATTTGTGCTTTTCTTTTCTTTTTTTAATAGTAGTAAGACTATTCAAGAATTGTTTAAGCATTTCAACGTAAAATCTGTTATGTAGAGGATTATGAAGTCATGGGAGAATGTGTCTGCAGATATTTTAAAAAAACTTGGTGTTATTTATGACTACTTATCATATTTCATTGTGATGATGATTATAGTAACAGTTGTCCAGATATCACTAACAAAAGGCAAAATTTTCTCATTAATGGAATATGGTAAAAAATGTGGAGTAATAATAAATGAAGACGATACAAAAGAAGTATTCCATTATGATCCTGAACCTTCAAATATCAACCATTTAATGATAGGATTTTAAATGCAAAAAGTGTTAACACCAGTACCGAAGATAATGCCAAAGAGATTGTTATGATTGAAAAGATTTCAATTGGCAGTTTAGTAGGTATTCTCAACATGGCAGTTACAGAACTCTGAAAATTGGAATTTTGTAAATGAAGAAGAAATTATGTTATCTTATCTATGCAGCTAAAGAGAAATTGTTAGCACAAAAAAAGAGACTTTAGATTAGTTATACTGAAAAAAATGTTGTAGAGCCATTAGTTTTTTTTTTTTTTTTTTTTTTTTTTTTTTAAGCAGGAAACATGAAAAAATGAGCAATTCCCTCCCTGGGAAACTCGAACCTGGACCTCTAGAATACACTCCGAGTGTGCTACAGTTACACCACGAAGGCATGCAGAAGAAATGAGAAAATACATTATATACTCCCCTTTTTAAAGGGTGGCTGGGGATTAGTGAAAAGGGTGGCTGGGGATAGTGTAATAAAGGGTGGCTGGGGATTAGTGTAAAGGGTGGCTGGGATTAGTGTTGTACATAACACTAATCCCCAGCCACCCTTTAAAAAGGGGAAAGGTTGGTCAAATCCTCCTGGTGAAGAATCATCATCCACCACTTTTTAGTTTGGGTACCACTTAGAGTCATTTTGTAGTATTTTAAAGCAGGAGACATGAAAAATGAGCCATGCCCTTACTAGGACTTGAACCTGGACCCTCGAATATGCATTGAGTGTGCAACTGTTATACCATGAAGACATGCAGAAAGGAGGGCAAACAGGCCTTATAATGTTTAATAAAATTAATGGGTATTGAGTTTTTTTTTTTTTTTGTTTGTTTTTTGTTAATTTCAATTTCTTTAAAGTCATAAAGGCTTAACTATTTCATGTTTTTAATTTTATAATTTCTACATGTGATCATGCTGTATTTAAACTGTTGATCTAAAATTCGGAAATTTTTTTCCACAAGAAAAGTCTTAATGATTCTGGATCTCAGATTTTGTACAACATGATGTCTTGTCCCTATGTTATTTTTTCATTTTGATAATAGCAAAATATAATTTCATTTGATAGTTTTTTGAAAAAGTCTTAATATGGATAATACTTTTGTCATAGAAGAAGTTTATCATGACTTTTCGTCATTTGGAGATTACCATATCATGTAGTTAATATTGATTGTTATAGATTATAATATTTGAAATATTGTTGGTTGTCTGCAGATATTTTAAAAAATACTTGGCGTTATTTATGAGTACCTATCATATTTCATTGTGATGATGATTATAGCCATAGGTGTTCAGATATCACTAAAAAAATGCAAATCTTATCATTAAGGGAATATGGTAAGAAATGTGGAGTAATAATAAATGAAGGTGATTCAAAGGAAGTTTTCCTTTGTGATGCCGAACATTCAAATGTCAACCAATTAATGGATGGTAAAACCTGTGGTAACGTTTTAAATGCAGAAAATATCACCAGCAGTAGTGAAGATGATGCCTAATCTACTTGGAATTTGCTTAAACTTACTAAATTTCATTTGAAAAGTCTTGAATTAAAGTAATGCAGGTACTTAGTTTCTCAAAATATTAAATAACAATGAATCCAATAAATTCCATATTAAAGAGTTTATTTCAACTTGAGTGTTTAATTGATAGATATTAACCTTCATAGCATCCAGAACCAATTGAATAAGAATTGCAAATATAATGTACTTTTTCAAATCACTGTTGTCAGTCACATAAATGCTAGTTAATACAAGAAATAATGAGCATTAAACAATTAATAAAACAAAACAGAGTAATTGTAGAAAAAAATAAACAGCACTTTAAAAATAGAATAATGTTCGGAACTGCCACCTATAAAACAGAATCTGAAGTTAGAAACTTTAATCTTAAAGTCAAACAACTCTTTTTTTTTTTTTTTTTTTTTTTTTTTTTTCATTTTTCTTTCTCAAGTGCTTTCAACAAAAAAAAGTAACTGAAAATGTTCAAAGGAAAAATTGCTATCGAAGAGAAAAACATTTGATTGTATTAAATTAAATAAAATTTGATGTTCCTTCTTCTTGTTTATTCATAATGACATCATAGCATAGCTGTTTCCAAATTAAAATGCACGAATTGTAATATCTGGAACACAGTTAAAATTGTTACTTTGTTGACCAAAACATACTTGAATAAAATAATGAAAGCAGTTAGAATCTTGTAGTTTGCAATGAAATAACATTCAGAAATGATACTGATAATGAAGATGTAAAGCTGAAGTCTGCACATTGTGTATTAATGTGTAAGGCTGCAGCTGATCTGGAAACTGAAATTTTTTTTTAAGTCCTGCAATTCTATAAGATTAGTTAATTATTGCTACATCGGAAATAGTTTGAGAAAGTCTTGGAAAGGCTTTAAAGAACCCCTTTTATATAATCTGAACTTTTAACATAAAAGCCACTACTTGTGCTGCAGACAAACCACTGGTCATTCAGTGTAAATTAAGCAATAACAGTCAAATGCATTTAAACATTGATAAGGTAGAAAACTACACAGTCAAATAAATACGCTGGCTCAAATATTCCACTGATGCATAAGTTTAATGTATTGGCTGTGAGAGAATGCAAAAGCCAGAGTTATCATTTTTAAATAAAGCTGGCAAAATTTCAACAGCATGGCATGAGTGCCAGAAACTCTCTCTCTACACAGAATCTTCAGTTTGCATGATCTAAATGCTAGTTTGCATTCTGGTGAGGAATACAGAAAGAAGAAATTATAGTAAATTAAAGATCAAAAATCATAATAACTGCTTAATTAACCTTATGACTGCATTTCAATGTTACCAAATTCAGAATCCAAAAAGAAAATACAGTAAATAATAAAGGCCTTGCTTCTAACTTTCTCTCAAATAATTGGTGCAGGAAGTTCTGGTGTGGTTAAATGGTAGTTCTAGGAACAATAGATGAGGAAATATGTAATGTTAACTTATATAGCAGAACTTCTTTCGGAATAAAAAATAGCGAATGATTCATAGAAAAAATTTTATTTTTGTGAAAGTAATGGATCAATGTTCTGCTGTATTTTCTGCAATATATTTTTGCATATTTTGTTTAAATCATGCATTTTTTTTGTATGTGTGTTAGCCTCTTATTAATTATCAATAAATTCTTTATAATGTGTGTGTATTTTCCTTTAATTACCATGCACATGCCAGTTAGGAATTTGCTGTGAATTATGGCTACATCAATCAGTTACCAAGAATAGATAATTTGAATATTCTTTTCTTTAGTTATTTTTTTAAAAATTTATTTGTAGGGCATACATAGGTGAACTGTCATCACATTGTAACCAATATTCTCTGCTTTTTGATGATCTGTGTGGTGCTTTGGACTCACTGGAAGTTCTAAGAGAGAAATATGCATTTGTATCGAATAAAACAAATTCTTTACATGAGGCTTGCGAGCATCTTTTAACTCAGCAGGTTAGTTCTGTTTCTGATAGAAATATTTTTTTTTTTTTTTTTTTTAATTTGAGTTCAGTGTCAGAAAAGCTTAGCAAAATGACATTCTTTGACATAGATATAGTTTATATCGTTCTGGATGAAAGTGTATTATCAGAAAGCTGCAAATCTAGTTAATACTTTGGAAGGTATTAGAATTGTGTGATTTTTTGAATTAGTAAAAGTCAATGGAAAATCAAAACAGTTTTTAGGCATTTCTGAAATGAAATTGTGTAATTTAATATTTTTTATCCTTAACCCTTAAATTTTACATAGATTTTAAAATCAGTATTTAATAGTATTGAAATGAAGTTAAATTAATTCAGAATCTAGTTATTTTGGGTTAAAATTAATTCAGAATCTAGCCATTTTTAAATGAAAGTGGTAGTCCATTTATTATTAGTAATATAGAACTTTTCATTATACTTATTGCTAGTCCTTTCTAGGGCAAGAAAAATCTAGTTTATTGTTAACATACTTGCTTTCAGTTCTTTGGTTGATTTTAAAAATATCAGGAAAACATTATACAATACATATAATGTATACAAGCTGTTTCATATTGAATGAGAACAAAAAGAATAGCACAGTACTAATTCTATTACTGATTGATTAAGCTGAAACAAATTAATTCTGAAACTACAATTTCAAGTTTTATGTGGTAGCAGCGAAAAATCTTCCATTTGCAAAATTGCCACTGGAAGCTCTGTTAATCAAAACGGCAACATCCATGCAGAAGAAAGCATACCATGTTTTCGAATATGCTTAAACATAATCGCTTATTGTCATTCAAAGAGATTTTCTGGCAAAATTTGGTAAAGAATCACCACATTGCCATAATGTCAAATAGTATGTGAAGAAAACCAGCTGAGGATGAACAGCAGCCCAAACCGAAATGGTTGAAAAAATTCATGAAACCATTTTTATGAAGTCCCACAAAATCGATGCATCGTGTGTGTTTTGAACTCAGTGTGCCTCATGTAACGGTGTGGTGTGTGTTACAGAAATGTCTATAATTCCACTTGAACACGTTTTAGATGGTGCCGCCATTAAAGCATTTTGACAAACCATTGTGTAAAGTCTCTATGAAAATTTGAAAATAAGCTGGAGGTAGATGTGCGCAGACTTGTGTTTATGTATAAGGCCACTTTTCATGTTTCTGGGGAAGTTAATTGCTATAATTTAAGAATTTGGGCACAAAATATCCTCATTGTCCAAATGTGAACATTTTCTTCACCATTTCCAACAGTTGTGTTTTTGGTCCCCCCTTTTTTTTTTCATTGGAAACACAGATTAGCTGATGCATTTGCCAAGATATGCTATCAGAGTGGTTGTTCTCTCAGTTGAAAAAAAAAAAAAAAAAAGTTCTGCTCTTCATGCTGCAGGAAGATGGTGCTCCACAACATTGGCATAAAAGTGTATGCCAGTACCTGAACAATAGTCTACCCCATTGCTGGATTGGCTGTGTTGTGTCAAACAATATGCCATTACTTTGTTGTCCACCGAGATCTCCAGATATAATCGCTTGTGATTTTTTTCTTATGGGATTTCTTAAAGACAAAAAATGTTCATGCTTGCATTTCCCCGGGACTTACAGCAACCGAAGCAGCAGATAACTGAAGTGCTCGAATCATTAACAAATGATATTCTATGAAGAATATGGCAGGAATTGCAATACCGCATTGATATTTGCAGTGAGATTGGAGGGGCACACATGAAAAATCTATAGAAACTTGGATAACTATAGTTTCATTGTAAATTTGTTTTATCCAAATTAGCATTATAGTGTTCACCGGTATGTTTTCCTTTTGTCCCATTCAGTATGAAACACCATGTATATTTCTAAAAGGCTATTAAATTAATTTCTATAAATGCATACAAAATGTGTTTGGGTAAGTAAGCAGTCTGCAAATATTTGTTGCAAGTCAATAATGAACCTTGTATAGGCCTAGTGGGATAAAAAGCTTTAATTTTAAATGAATGGAAGTAGGCAGAGGTTTGTTCTGCTGACGAATTTATTATTTTATTTTAATTCAGATAACTGTGTATTTAGATGAGCGATAGAAAATTTCTTTAGTTTCATTAAAAAATTGTATTATATTTCATTGTAAAAAATAAATGTACTTTAATTTTTAAACTGTATAATTTTTAGAACTGTGAAAGAAACTAGGGAAAGGTGGTAGACATAATGGCAGAAAGACCTAAAAAAAAGGTTATAATAGACCAAATGTGCGATATATATATATAAATATATAGCCCATTCTGTTAAAAGATGTAAAACAAAATTTTATTGGTGCATATGTATTAATGTAACTATCTTGGCACAAATTGGCAATTTTTTACAAATGAAATTGTAAAAGTTACTTATGGGATGCAAGCTGAGGGTTTACTTAACTTTCTTAAAAGATTCCCAAACTATTGCTATTTATTGTAAGTTGGCAAGCAAGGTCAACATATGAAAAAGAAACATACTTTAGTAATTTAAATAAAAAGATAAAAATTTTAATTATTAAATACTGCATATACCTGCATATAAGTTGACAATTTAAAAAAAAAAGTCAAACTTCAAAGTATTATAAGTTGGCTTATACCCAAAACCTTAAAAAAAAAAAAAAAATACGCTGCCACCAATTGAAAACACGTCAGCGAACTTGCTTATTAAATTTATTGTTCATACAGAAACTTTTTATTTATTCTTTTCATTTTATAAGCAATAAGTTGCCTCCCATGATTATTTTCAAGTGAAAAACGTTACCAAAAAAGACAGCATTTCCAGCAGGTGTTCGCACCCAGAAAAATGGTTGGATGGGTGATACCCTAAACATTGATTGGTTTCAAAATGTGTGGTGCAAAAAACCAAGTACACTTTTACGGAAACCTTCGCTTTTGATATGAGATATATTTCGACTGCATCATTTAGAAGTTGTAAAAAAGCATGCAGAAAGTTCAAAAACAACACTTTCTATGATCACTGGAGGGCTGACATCCATTTTACAACACTGGATGTCAGCATAAATAAGCCGTTCAAGGTGAATATGTGCAAGTGTTGGGCAGAATGGATGCAATCCAATTTGCCTACTAAAACCAAAGGTGGCAATATTAGAAAGCCAGACATAACTTTAATTGCACTATCCGACTATCCAGAAAGCTCACAAAATGCCAAATTCTGGATATGTGAAAATTTTGGATAGTGGTGCATATAAGCAGATAGAATTCATATTAGGAAAGCCAAACCAATAGGGGAAAATTTAGCTGTAAAATTATAAAAACAGCCAACATATTTATTATCAGCATGAATATCAAAAGCCTACATTTAAAGTTATATAAGATTTTGGTGGGATGCACTTCACACATAAAAGCCAGTGGATTTTGTAGGACTTGAACATGAAAGTAAAATATCTGATTACGAAATTCCACCGAACATGAAAACTGGCAGAAATATCCCCAGATATGGCATACAGAAAACTTAGTCACTTATAGTTTTATGCATTACATTGCCATTCTTTATCTATTTTCTGCCATTCTTTATCTGGCATCATGGCTTTTATTGATTGATGACTGGATCCCATAACTTTGAAAATACTCCATTTTATGCACTCCCAAATATTAATTATTTTTCAAAATGTGAGGATAAAAAATAAAACTTAGCTTTAAAAAAATTAACCCAACCTGTCAAATATGAATCAAACTAACATCAAACCAAAACAAACATGTTATGAATGTGTTATGCGATCATACTTTTATATTATTGGCTAAATCACACTGGCCCAATGTATACATGTTAGTAGTATTATAGCTTTAATGGCATTACAAATTTGCCATTTCCTAAAGTTTTTTAAAATTTTAATGTATATCAATTTATTAGAGCTTTCTGGTTAGTTAAATGCCAGACAGACAGGCCTTTTACTTTGAAAAACTAGCTTTGCAGTTTGAGCAGATAGAGGCTTATTCTCAACTTTTAGAAAGTTATTATGTGTAGCCTGAGTGTGGCCAGTTCTAAGATAAGATTTCCTCCTTCTAATTTCTAGTAGCCTTCCAATACTCCACTCTAAATTTTATGTTCCTCAACTTTTTATGTAGCTAAATGCTCCAGAACAATTACCATTTATTTAGGATTTTTTACTTGATAACCATGCTAGTATCACATAATGATATGAGCCTCATGGACCATTCAGCAGCAAACTTTACTCTGATCTACCAGGCAATTACATTTTATCCCTGTATGTCGGAAAACACAGTAGTAGTAAAGAATCTGATACCTATGGTTCCAAAAAATTAAATCCACTCAGTTGCATTATGCAGGGTGATAAAGAAGTTGTGATGTTTAAATTTGAGTACATTTTTAAAATTTATTGTTAAATGTGTGAGAAAATATTTTAAATTAATTTTTTTCAACACATTTGAAGCACCGTATGCCATTCATTATGTTTAGCCTGACCAAAAATAGTGGTGCTGCACATCTTTCTGGTTGATATTTCCTTCAAATAGATATCAAATAGTTTAATGTCAGGAAGCTTGCATCCAGCATCCTGAAAGTACTCAATATTATGCAATACGTGCCTTCATTGGCATGTATTAGTTACATTCAACAATATAAACTCCGTTAATATGGGTATATATTAGCCATTATTTAGACATTATCAGTGCTTGTAATCTTACCAGCTGCTAAATGTATGATTCGTATTCTTCTTTTAAGTGTATTTGGGTGTTGTGTAGATTATAAACAAGTAAAAGGTATGTATTAAAGTCCCAGTTGTTTAGCTGTTTGATCATCTTGTAGTAAATACATATCTGGCCACAGAGAATATCAAATTTCTGGACTTTTGTATATCCAAATGAGCTGCTGTCCTCATGGGTTTGGATATTTATCGATTCTAATAGAAGGCTATTTCCAATTTTTACATTTAACAAATGTGTATGAATCATTCTCGTAACAACTGTTTAAGTTCTGTTAAGAAAGGTAAAAGTAAATTAGTGATGATTTTCTTATAATGGTAAGTTTTTCTTTTCAAACATAGTATAAAAAGTATACATGATAAAGTTATAGAATTCAAGAGAGAAAGATGTACCAAGAGAGGCAGTGAAGGGAATAATGTATTTAAACGTAATTTCTTAAAATATGTGTTTGCATTATGCTAAACAGTTTCTGATGATATATACTATTTAAAATATTTGTTGACACTAATAAATGCTGTTACTTTTAAGTGTCATAGATATTAAAAGCAAAGCTATTAATTATCATTTCAAAAGTTTTCATAAATTTATTCAGTTAATTTAAATTAAATTTGAAATTAGAAATAATTTTCAAATACTTGTTTAAAAGGCAAATAATTTTGTTTTTCAGGCTAAACTTGTGAATTCAGCTGAAACAATATCTGAAAAATTAAGCTATTTCAATGAATTAGAAGTGTTATCCCAGGTAATTTTTTGTTCTCATTTATTCTTTTATTATTAGTTTGTACCCGTGGTGTTTTGTTATTTCATTTCATTTTTACTTTCTTGTACGAAGTAAAGCAAGTACTGTAATTGCACCAAATTTTGGGTACTTCAACAGAAATATCCATTTTGAAAATTTTGAGACCCATTTAGACGACTTCTTTGTATCACATCTGATGGTGTGGTTTGAATACAGGACTGTTTCTTCTGAACAAATTGTAAAATGGTATCAAAAGGGACTTTTTTCATGATGCATGTATGTACGTATCTTGCATAACTTAAAAACGTTTAGCCGTAGAGTGTTAAAATTTTGTGTGTAGGACTGCTACACACAAAATTTTAACCCAACCCCTTACCTGCCCTTAAGTCCTTACCTGGCCTTTATTTTCACAATTGTTGTTATAGTCATATGTTTCTAATTACAGGAGTATTTTAAATGATAAAAATATACATATTTTGGCAATGTCAGATTTTTGGAAAAAAATTTATTTCGACAAATAAGAAAATTTAACTTCTAATGCGGTCTCCTGATTCCTGTACTTATGTTTGGGGAAAGTTTTATACACATTATGAAGAAATAAAATTAGAAGAAATTTGACTCCAGTACGATAAAAATTGACCAGGATATTTAAGGAAGTATGTCAATTAATGTCAAAATTTGCAATTTTTGATGTCATTTTCAACTTGCTTTGAGAGGTTGGTTAGTTGAGTTAGAATAATTCAAGGAAATAATTTAAAATGAGGTGTAGCAAAAAATGTGTATAATTTAATAGGTACAAGGAAGTCATGTTTTTCCAAAAATATTCAATGAATAAATAAAGAATTTTCACCTTTAGCTTTCTTACTTCCATTTTCAATAACTGGATTCCTGGATGGTGGAAGATCTTTTAAATGGCTAAAATTTCAGATTTAACTGAATTCACAACAGGGATTTAATACTTTGAAAAGATTAAGGCAATTAAAGTTACAAGTAATAAGGCAATTAAAGTTACAAGTACATTTTACAGCATTTTACAAAATATACTACACACTCAAATTTCTACATGTATCCAATTTTAAATCAAAACTTAAGAATTTTATACAAAGCTACAATTACAGTTTCAAAGTTAGGATATCATTCACGGTACTCTTCCCCTTTTGATACTCAGAGATTTATAATTGAAGCTCAACAATTTTGAAAGTCATAGGTTCATTCATTGTCTCTTTTTCAAAGGACGTCCAAACTGGGAGTTTTGAATAACAACCTATCATTTTTAAGACATTCAACATCACTTGGAGCATTCATGTAAGGAGTTGAACTACAGTCACTGGTCATTACATTGGGATGGTTCTTTAACAGTTTGTCATTATCTTTGACTTCTAATGGATGCAGTTTTCTGGACAGTTCTCAGATAAGTCATGTTTGGTCATGACTTCTGCCACATGTATTTTTCCATTTTTACCAGAATGCATTTTAATCATTTTGACTAAGCACTAATTGCTTCTTTTCACATTGTCATCTCCAAGAAGGGCAATATCCCCTTCCTCCAAATTATATTCCTTTGTGGTCTTGTTATATTCTCTCAACTGTCCTAAATATTCAGTTCTGAATCGTTTTCTGAGCTGTTATATGCTATGTGTATTGTAGACACTAAGATGTATGCAAATATACATGTATTATATGTACTGTGGTGATGGCGATAAGGAGCGCGCCTTGCGCCCTCCGATAAGTGTGGCAACCGTAGAGGAGAAGTTTCTTACGAGTAGCGAGCAGAGTGAAACAGGCAGGCTGTCGGGCAGTGTGCGCGAAGTTCTGAAATAAAGCTTAATTTTTATTGTGCACTATGTCTCGTTAATATTTATATCAATGCAGTAGGAACATAAATCTGTGATATGGAATTCGAGGATTGGTGGTAAAAACAACAGGAAATCACCATAATGGTAACCCGGACTGTGTTAAATCGTATGAACAGTTCTCAAGCACTTTCGGTTTTGACTACAAGCCATCACTCAAGATCTCCAAACCAGAAGTAATGGATTACATCGGTTTTCGTCCTCCGAATCACAGATGAGTAGTAATTATAGATCATTTTGTAATTCTGTTTTCTACTTATCATTTAATTTCATTTTCTATAGTTAAATTTTTGCTTTTATTTTGGCTTAAAAACCTTGCACAATGTCTGATGTTTATGCCGTCCGAATTCCGGTTTATAACCGATCAGACCCATCTTTATGGTTTATTATGTGTGAAAGTACCTTTGCTCTTGCCACCCCCAAACCTATCACAGAATCCATTACTAAATATAATTATGTAGTTGCTCATCTTCCTCCAGATATTGCATCAATAGTACGGGATTTACTTATGAAACCAGACCCTATTGATCCCTATACAAAGCTCAAAACTGAGTTAATAAATCATTCAGGAGAATCTTCTCAGCAAGAAATTCGCCAATTATTATCTGGAGAAGAATTATGTTCTCGAAAACCTTCCGATTTGCTTAGAAATATGAAACGTCGAGCAGAATCTTTAAATGTTCCTGATAACTTAATGTTAGAATTATTCCTTCAACGTTTGCCTTCGACTGTTCAGTCTATTTTTGGCAGCGGTTTCCAATTTAACTGTAGATAAAGCTGCAGAAATTGCCGACAGAATTTTAGAAGTAAATCCAACCCCAGGGACTTGTGCCGTTTCTTCTCGCACAGTCGATCAGTCTCTTGAGGATAAATTATTTAAACAAATAGAAAAATTAAACAAACGTATTGATCGCATTTCTCTTTCTCGTGGTCGCTCGCCAAATCGCGGAGATCGCAATAAGGAAAGAAGCAATTCCAAAAGGAGAGATTATTCTGTTTGCTGGTATCATAGACGTTTTGGGAAAAAGTGTAGAGATGACAAATGTACAAAACCTTGTTCATGGCAGGGAAACGAAACCAGCAAAGAATAGAGGCGACTTATTCTTTGCCTCAAGTTTCACGTCGCCTGTTCGTTCATGACCGTAGAACAAACCTTTCATTCTTGGTCGATACCGGCTCTGACGTGTCCTTACTTCCAGCAAATAATTCTCAAAAACGGAATTCGTCCCAACAAACACTTTTCGCTGCTAATTCTTCTACTATTCATGTTTATGGTCAAAAAACACTTTCTTTGGATTTCAAATTAAGACGACCGTTTACATGGACTTTTCTTATAGCAAATGTTAGTACACCCATTCTTGGAGCAGATTTTCTCCATTTCTTTGAATTGGTGCCTGATCTCAGAAACAAATGTCTCAAAGATTTAAAAACGCATTTTAAAACCGTCGGTTGCGTGAAAAATGCTAGCATTTATTCAGTAAAAACTGTATTTAGTGATACACCATATGTGTAAAATTTTAGAAGAATTTCCTTCAGTTACTAGATTACCAGATCCTAACCAACCTGTTAAACACAACACCGTTCATTATATCATAACTAAAGGTCCACCTGTGGTTGCAAAACCTCGTCGGTTAGCTCCAGATCGCTTAAAAATAGCAAACCAAGAATTTCAAACTATGATGCAATTGGGGCATTTGAGACCTTCGAGCAGCAATTATGCATCCCCACTTCACATGGTTCCAAAAAAGGGAAGTCTGGAATGGAGACCTGTAGGAGATTATCGAGCATTGAACGCTCAAACAATAAAAGACAAAAATACCCTATTCCATGCTTAGCCGATTTTACTGCTGCATTGCACGGTACTAAAATTTTTAGTCATGTCGACCTGATTAAGGCATACCATCAAATACCAATTACCCAACCCAGCCGACATCCACAAAACTGCCATATGCACACCATTCGGTTTATTCGAAAGTACCCGTATGCAATTCGGCTTATGCAATGCATCTGCGACTTTTCAACGTTTTATAGATGAAGTCACGCAGGGATTTAGAAGCGTGTTACGCTTTTGTCGATGACTTGCTCATAGCCTCTAAAGATTCTGAGGAACATTGCAGGCATTTGAAAGCTTTATTTTCCAAACTTCAGGAATATGGACTTTGCATAATTTTTCAAATATTTAAAATGCCAATAATATTTACGTTGCTTAAATGATTCAAAATGCACCTTTGGTCAGTCAAACACTATTGATTGATTTCTTAGGTTTTCACCTTAGTGAAAAGGAATTGAACCTCTTCCTGACAAAGTCAAATGTATTTTAGATTTTCCTCAACCTACCACTCTCACTCAGCTTCGCCGATTTTTAGGCATGTTTAACTTTTACAGATGTTTTCATATCTAAAGCAGCACATATTCTTTCTCCTTTAATAAAATTGTTAGAAGGCTATATTAATAAAAAAAATCTCGTTCTCGTGTTCAGGATTCATCCCCACAATTAAATTGGAACGAGAATGCTGAACAAGCCTTTATTGCTGCCAAAAATGCCATTGCTCAGGCTACCCTTTTGAGACACCCTATTCCCGGAGCCCAGCTAAGCATCTGGGTAGATGCCTCAGACGTCGCAATAGGCGGCACACTTATGCAGTTGTGTCTCAACAAACATGGGAACCTATAGCATTTTTCTCTATGAAACTCAATAAAAGGAACAGAAATGGTCTGCGTACGATAGGGAATTATTTTCAATTTATTCTGCAATTAAGAAATTCCGACACATGTTAGAGGGCAGAAATTTTATAATTTATACGGATCAAAAACCGTTAATATACGCTTTTAAACAGAACCCTCATAAATGTTCACCTCGACAATTGCGCCATTTAGATTTTATTTCTCAGTACTCTACTGATATTAGGCATGTGCAAGGTTCAAAAAACGTCGTTGCTGACGCTCTTTCAAGAATCGAAATTGATTCCATAACAAAATCTCCATTTTTGGATTTTAAAAAATTTTCGGAAGCTCAACGGCATGATCCGGAGGTACAAGACCTTCTCAAAAACATCACATCATCTTTGAAACTGGAATTTAAACCGTGCCAATATTCTGATGGTAATATTCTTTGTGACATATCAACAGACATTCCTCGCCCATTTGTTC